GGATCATACCGGAAAATATTTTGAAGTAAATGGAACTATATATAGGATGGCTACGATCGCCATGACGGTTGGCGGAGCGTTAGTAAACGCCCTGGAATTTTCCCGGGAGTAATTTCCTCTTCTCGAAACTACGCGAGTCAAACGCGGCCGAGATACAGGCTGAACGCAAACGTCACGACATAGCCGTGGAGAAACTACAAGCCGCGCAAGCCGAGTATGCGAAGAAACGTATACAGAGGATCGATTACATTAACGAACAACTCCAGCGTGAGAACCATGCCGTTAAAACATTTGAGAACGTTGATGACGCAGCGAGAGAATTATACCTGCTAACCGGTAAACAGCTAGAACCACTCCATAAGCCCACACTCACTCAGTACTACACATCATCCCCGAGGCAAAAGGACCGGGAACTGGCCTTCATCATGCTGGGTCTAGCAGCGACTGCGTTGGTTGTAAAACAATTAGACTAAGTACTCATATTAGTATACCAAAGATGAGACCTGCCCCGTACCGATGCCAGTACATACTTAGGGGGGAAGACCGAGACCTGCGGTAGGAAATGTAGGATGGAGGGGTACTGCTGTTTTCATAGGAGTTGTTTCATAAACTACACGTGTTCCATGTGCGGTATTGGAGTGAAATGCCACTACTGTTTATGTAAAGGCCACGGGGCAAACGTAGTCAGGCACCAGCTTATCGACGAGAAGAAAAAGGCCTACATAAACGAATGTATGCGCCTCCTTAGTATGGAGGTGTAGCGTACAGGGGTCCCGACGCGGCTGAAACGTTTCTAAAGTGTTTGCAGGAGGAAGAGAAAACTATCAGGAATGCCCTGTCAACAGTCGCTCCCATGCGTATGACTCAAGCCGACCGGCTAGCTCACGGCTGCAGCACTCACTGCCATGTGTGTGATAAACCGCTGAACGGCGGTGATGGCCCGCTGAATGGCAATCCGGCGAGAGATCACTGCCATGTCACCGGTAAGTATAGAGGCGCCACTCACAACGCGTGCAACCTCAAGCTCAGAATCAACCCCAAGACAATAAACATCCCCGTGGTCTTCAACAACTTGAGTGGGTACGTTTCTCACTTGATCATGCAGGCCATCGCGAAAGTCGATGGCAACCTGACGTGCATCCCCAACAACATGGAGAGATACATCTCCTTCAGCTTGAATGGTCTGAGGTTCATCGACTCGGTTCAGTTCCTCCTGTCGTCACTCGACAGTCTGGTCAAGGCCAACGATACCTTCCCCATCACCGACCGATACACCGACGCCGAGACTCGACTCCTGCTGATGAGGAAGGGCGTGTACCCCGACGATTACTCGCACGCGATTAACGTATGGAATAAACTGGGCTGTAAGAATCTGGGTGACTACCACGACCTTTACTTGAGAACAGATGTACTCCTGCTAGCCGACGTGTTCGAGACGTTTAGGAGGACGTGTTTTAAGCAGTATCAACTCGACCCCGCATGGTACTACACCAGTCCAGACCTATCTTGGGATGCCTTGCTGAAGAAAACCGGAGTTAAGCTGGAATTGCTTACTGATTATGACATGCACTTGTTCATTGAGAAAGGCTTGCGAGGTGGGATCTCCATGGCTGCCAAATGCTACGCGAAAGCCAATAATCAATACGTGAAGGGCTACGACTCGAGCAAGCCAACCAATCACATCCCCTACCTCGATGCCAACAACCTGTACGGCTGGGCCATGAGCCAGTATCTACCCACAGGGGGATTCGAATGGGCATCGCACGAGATCGATGTTATGAGCATCGCGCCGGATTAGAACAAAGGCTATATCCTCGAAGTGGACTTGGAATACCCCAAGGCATTGCACACATCGCACAACAGCTACCCCCTGGCCCCCAAACGTATGAGGGTTAACCCAGACTGGATGTCCGAGTACCAACATAACTTGCTGGGTGGGCGGGTGGCAGACGTTGAAAAACTCGTGCCCAACTTAATGAATAAGACCAAGTACATCGTTCACTATCGCAACCTACAGCTGTACCTGTCGTTGGGTATGAGGCTGACCAAAATACACAGTGTGCTCGCGTTCGACCAAAGCCCCTGGATGGAGCCCTACATCAGAATGAACGCGGACCTGCGAAACCTGGCCACCAGTGATTTTGAGAAAAACCTCTACAAGCTCATGAACAACTCGGTGTTCGGTAAAACGAGGGAGAACCTGAGGAAACGCGTGACCTTGAAGCTAGTCCGGTCGAAAGAGGAAGACAAGCTCAGGAAACTGATAGCCAGCCCGACATTCAACCGGAGCAAGATATTCACCAACGACCTGGTGGCCCTACACATGAAGAAAAGCCACATCAAATTCAACCAGCCTGTTTACGTGGGGATGAGCATCCTCGATTTATCCAAACACCTGATGTACGACCTTTGCAACAACGAGCTCAAGAAGCAGTACGGCGACAGGTGTGAAGTGCTGTACACGGACACGGATTCCCTGCTGATGGAGATTCGAACCGAGGACGTGTACGAGGACATGAAGAAACGCCTCGATTTGTATGACACCAGCGACTACCCAAAGGACCATGCCATACACATCACAGTAAATAAAAAAGTGCTTGGCAAGATGAAGGACGAGTGTGCCGGCATGCCCATAGCTGAGTACATAGGCTTGAGACCCAAGATGTACTCCATCCTGAAGGCCGACAATGGTGAGATCCGAAAGGCAAAGGGCGTTAAGAAGTACGTGGTGAAACAACACATCAAACACGCCAGATTCAAGGAAGCCCTGCTCAAGACCCGCACCTTCAGGCATCAAATGAACACACTGAGAAGCGACGGGCACAGGATATACGGACTGACGATAAACAAGACGTCCCTGTCGCTGATGGACATGAAGCGTTGGATAGCCATCGACGGTATCAACACGTACGCGTACGGGCATGAGAAAATTGAACCAAGAACATAGGTGTATATATACGATGTCACGGAACCAGAGAAAGTTTGAGGCTATTTACTACAGCCCGCGTGGGTACTGGAAAGGAGCTAGCGCTGTACATAAGCTGGCCAAAATGGCACGAGTACCCCCGGACGAGGCCAAAGCATGGTTTGAAAAACAAGCCCTGTGGCAGATCTATTTACCGGCACCACGCTACGTGCCTCGAAGAAAGTTCGTCATTACCGTACCCAATAGCGCCCACCAGGCCGACCTCCTGTTCCTACCCCACGACAAGAGGCACAAGTATGCCCTAATCATCGTGGCCAGTCACTACAAGGAAGCCGAACCGTTGAGTGCGAAAGACTCGGCCCAGGTAGCCCGCGGATTTGAACGCATATACAAGCGCAGTCGGCTGACGTGGCCAACAGAGCTGCAAGTCGACCCCGGGCGGGAGTTCATGAGTGCCGTGTCACAACTGCTAGACAAACACGATACCAAGGTCAGGCGTGGCGCGGCCGGAGCCCATCGCAGCCAAGCCATAGTTTAGAGATTCAATCGGACTTTGGCTGAGCGCTTATTCGGGCACCAGTATGCGAGAGAGATGGCCAACCCGTGGAAACGATCGACGGAATGGGTAGCGCGACTACCTCAGGTGGTGTCGGCCATCAACCACGAAACCACTCGGCAAGAAACCAGCCGACGCTATCAAACTGAAATCAGTGGTGGCTGAGTCGGCTGCACCATCACGTGGGAAGGAGAAACAGATACCCGATAGGGCCCTCGTGAGGTACCTCTACCAGCGGGGGGAACACGAAGGGGACACTCGGAAACGAGCCACCGATCCGATATGGTCAGTCAAAACTTACAACATAGATAAAGTGGACATGAAAGCTGACGAGCCGAACTTGTGCTACTTGAAAGATGGGCCAGGGAGAGGTTTCGTCAGAGAGGAATTATTAGTCATACCGTACGGCACAATGTTACCCCCCAAGCAAACTATTTAACACTTACCAAGTAATCCCAATAGTATCCTATAACCAGCTCGCATTAAACTGTTTCCTCGAGGTCAACACGACATAGCATCACGTGATCAGGATCGCGGTCATAGTGACACAATAGTGTCACGTGTGGCCGGGAAGTTAACTGGGGATTCAAAAGTAGTATATACAATGGCGGCGAGATCTAAGGGCCTGACAAAAGCTTTATTTGTGAAATAAAGCTTTACAGAAGCTTTTGTTGGACTTGATCTCGGACAATCATTGTATATACTACTCCGGGTCTTCGACGTGACGAGCGAACGCTTTAACCACTAGGCTATCCCACCGCCCCCGTCACCATTTACGACCTACAAAGATTGCCAGGAGCCTTTTCCTCCGAGACTGTCAGTGGCTAATGAGCTCATATTCATAAATTGCAGTATTAATGTGTTCATAATCGAGGTAACCTGAGTATTTGGGCGAACAATAAGAGAGTGCCCGAGTGAGTTACTTTTGATATTCGAGTTATAGCACGGCGTGTATGCTCAACGTGGGAGGCAATCTCGTTTACTGATAAGGCGAAAGCCACCAGTATGAGCCCGATGCTGGCACAACTAAAAGAATTATCTAGGAGATTCTGGACTTGAAGACCTGATCAGAGTTTACTGCTCTGCCGAGGGGAAGCAACCTTGACAGCTTAAGGACATAACTGGGTGCATTAACGCGCGACACCTGTAACCCCCATCATTTAATACGGCGGGTACTGTGTTGAGGTCCATATTACTATTTTACCACCGGTAGACTTACTATTACTTGACCTAAAATATAAGCATGAATGGTAAAATCTATGAATATAGGCCTATTCCATTTTGTTGTTAAAGGTCTTAAAACCACGAAGTACACTTACGGTTTTCGTTTGAAAAAATATATGAGTGACATCATCTAAGTGTGTGGTTTTTTTTGCTTCGTTTTTTTGGTTTTTAATTCAGCAGAAACTTACTTTTTGCTCTTTACTTTCTTCACTTCTTCGGCCCATTCTTTCTCAAAGAGTGGCACCAAAGTCTGGCTCTGATCACGTGGGTTGAGGTCCCAAAGATCTTCCTCTACTATTCCTCGTTTGTAGCCAGTGACGACCAGCCTGGAGTTAGTGAGTGAGGTGAGTGAGCGATTGAGAGAGTTTGAACATTAATTATATCACGGTTTTAGCATATTGAGTGAGTGAGTAAGTATGGTTTTACGCAGCTTTTAGCGATATTCCAGCAATATCATGGCGGGCAACACCAGAAATCAGAAACCCTTTAACCATAAGGCTACCTCACCGCACCGCATCCGTCTGGGACTACGGGATATCAAATTACAGCTGCTTGCTTTGTAAATCGTGAACAAAATACCATGTCTCGTCCATAAAACTGGACTGGTAAAACCGTTAACCTACTGCCCCTGGCCATTACTTTGTGATCCACCAGTACACAAATCTGGAGGGAAACGAGGCTGTAACTTCAGGACATGGTCGCTGAAATCAGACAGAAAACGAAGCTTTAGTGAGTGAGTATGGTTTTAAACCGCTTATAGCAATATTCCAGCAATATCACGGCGGGGGACACCACAAATGGGCTTCACACATTGTACATATGTGGAGAATCGTGACGAGCAAAGGCTTGAACCACAGTGTTACCCCACCGTAACAAAACGAAACTTTGAGTGAAAACTAAAACAAAAGAACTACATAGTTTATGAGGTTTGCATTTCAATGTAAGAAACGGACATAACATTTTCCTAAATTACAAAATGATAAACCGAAAAGTCTACAAACTTTAATTTCAAGCTCCCAGTCATTCCAAATTTACTTTAGAATTGAAACGGTGAAAATCCTTGCCCAGACGCTATAACTAAAATACAGACTGCTTCTCAACGACCATCATCATCTACTCACGTTTCCAATGACGTCATAACCCACTCGAACTTTCGGGACATCCGAAATCCATTGCAGGATAAATTCGAAGACTTGCAATCCAAATTTAACATAAAAAACTACAAACGTTAACAAGTCGGTGTCGTATTTCTGAAAGAAAAAACCCATAAACGATTGAAATAAACATGTGCAAAAATATCACGAAATTAGTTTTGACAATAAATCGTTTGAAACGGTCATAAAATCAACACAAATCGTTTTCAGGTTTTTCAAATGATTGGTAGGTTGGTTCGTTGTTTAACACCGCACTCAGCAATATTCCAGCTATATAGCGGCGGTTTGTAAATAATCAAGTCTGGAAAAGACAATCCAGTGATCGATAACATGAGCGTCGATCTACACGTGTCATACGATGACATGTGTCAACCAAGTCAGCGAGCCTGACCACCCGATCCCGTTAGTCGCCTCTTACGACAAGCATGGATTACTGAAGACCGATTCAATCCCGGATCTTCACGGGTCTGTTTCAAATGGAGGTCTGACACTAGACAAACATTAGTCTCGAAAATGAACATATACTACAGAAAACAAAATTTAAAATATATTTAAAAGGAGATTTTCATCATTTTGGCATTTTAGACTAGCCACATTTTCGAGACTCACTGGCTTTCTTGAAAATATTCGTTTTAGGGTCTGTACAACATAGTCACCCGGTACCAAACATGCGGAGACACAAATATGATCTGCTTATGCATATGCATGAGGATACTCATGCCGATTAACACCTGGTTCATATTTACACGCGTGCTGGGTGACCCTGACTTCAATAGGGAGATAAAGTACTTAAAATATGGTCTACTGTTCAAGTAGCTACAGATTTATATAACTAACTGGACACTGGTGATGTGAGGATATAATCGTTATACTTATATAACTAACTGGACACTGGTGACGTGAGGATATAATCGTTATACTTATATAACTAACTGGACACTGGTGATGTGAGGATATAATCGTTATACTTATATAACTAACTGGACACTGGTGACGTGAGGATATAATCGTTATACTTATATAACTAACTGGACACTGGTGATGGGAGGATTTAATCGTTATACTTATACTGTCTAAATAATTCGTGTGTAACTGACCTAAAATGTAGGTATCGTGATTCTCTATTTGGATACTTCCACTACAAAGCATCAATCTGAACTAAAATACTAAACCCTAAATAGGCTTGACCCATTCATGTTTGTTGTCTATGCAAATCTTTGTCCAGTATGCATGGAAGGTTGGCTTACATTTGCATCGACGTTTTTAAAGACATTACCGACTTATAAGAAGCCATACGAATTGTGGTGCAATGCTGGCCTTGTCAGATAGAGGACACGGTACAGCGGAAAGGAACATACACTACACAGAACATCGGTTTCTAAATATTACCATAAAATATGCTTTAAAACAGATTTTCGTCATTTTGGTATTTTAGACTAACCACATTTTCTAGACCTGCATGGGTTTTCTTGGATATATAAACGTTATGGTGAAATAGAGGACAATATACTAATCACTATTTCGGACGTTTACCGACAGTTTCGGACAGCAGACATGACCTTTCACTAATCTCAGTAAAGAATGGCGAACCATCATTTAACGTGAGTGAGTGATTGAATTGGGTTTCACGCCGCTTTTTAGCAATATTCCAGCAAGAACACGGCGGGGGACACCAGAAATGGGCTTTATACATTATACCCATGTGGTGAAACGAATCCGGGTCTTCGACGTGACGAACGAACGCTTTAACCGCTAGGCTACCCTACCGCCCGATACTTGAACGTATCTTGTATGACGTGATCGGGGATCGAACCCAAGACCTTTCGCTCTCTGAGCAAATGCTATATCGATTAGACTTGTGATGAAAGGTACTTGCCACTGACAAAGAAAGGGGTATGAAAACCAATACACATTTGTGTATTGTTTTACGCGCTTTTTGGAACAATCCAGCAATATTACATGAGGAAAACCAAATATGAGCCCAACACCTGATGATTAGGGGATTCGAACCTGACCATTCGATGTCTCGGACAAACACTTTAACCATAATGCCAACCATCATGGGAAGGGAACTAACCTTTTGTATTATGTAAGTATAAAATGGTATAACAGCAGTCATCACTTCCAGTGTCCAGAACACGAACAATATACCAGACGTATATACCCCTCTCAGTCGATCTATCTGCATGATAACGATCGTCAGCAGCTGAAAATAGAGTGAACGGATTAACATCGGGAGGTTTGTGGAGATTTGTCATGAGTGATATAATTTTATGCAATATTTGTGCAAGGGTTGCATGAACTGGCTCCCAACGCTTGTAGCAATTTTCCAATCTTTCGTTGCGGGAGATTCAAGGGCTTTGAGAGTCGTACTCATCTTCGGAATTGAACCCGAGCCTTACACATTACGAGTGAACGCTTTGATCTCAAGGACATGTACGCCTCGTTATAGATAACTGAGAATTTCTAGATGCTGACATTTAGAATAAAATTATGAAATATATTTTACGTGTTATATTAACTTTATCTAAACTCATATCAATATTTATTTTTAAAAAGAGATAGCTTGTCTGATGTTTGACACCCTCATTCTGCAATAGCCAAGCAATATGACTATAGCCTGCAAATTCTTCTGTCTGGATCATACAAATCAGTGATGGATATTGTGAGCATCGCCCGAAACAACCAGAAACATGCCTCGGTAGTCGACTGGTACAAGCACAGGTTGATGGAAACAGTTCTACCTGAACTCCTAAAGTGGGCAATCAAATCTAGCTGAATAAGATGTAGAAGTATTTATTTAAAGTATAACAGAAACTTACGTATGTGATAAACTGCAGAGTGAAGCCTAGATATTCAGCCTGTGAAACTGTGTTCCCGTTGTTCTGGGTGGCCACCAGGTGGAGAATGTTGACGAGTGACAGGAAACAGAGTATGCCGCTGCTAAACTGTAACAGAGAGTGAGTGAGTGAGAATTGTTCTAAGCCGCTTAGTTATCATCCTCGATAATCTCCAGGGCATACGTTACGATCACTCTCCCCATCCTCGATAATCTCCAGTGTAAACGTTACGATCACTCTCCCCATCCTCGATTATCTCCAGGGTATACGTTACGATCACTCTCTCCATCCTCGATAATCTCCAGGGTATACATTACGATCACTCTCCCCATCCTCGATAATTTCCAGGGTATACGTTACGATCCCTCTCCACTATACCCTGGATGCATCCACGGCTTGGGGGGGTGATGATTTTATTACCTCCCTTGGCTGACTCCGCTTTCTCACAGTAGCCAATCAGCTAAGCCGCCGTTACAACCGAGCTTGCTAGTGTCAACAAAGATAGCGGTCGTAATCGCGATGGTTTGTTCGCAGTGCCACTCAGATGTTAGGGGAAATAATAAAGACAAATTCAGAGATCTGAAACTTTAAAAAAATATATGAAAGAACTCCTTCTACTTATTTCAGAGTACCTCTGCATCAACTGTGTTGCCAAGTTTAAACGGTTAGATAATTTAAGAAGCGAAAGTGTGTTGTGATTGGTACGCTCAGCTTCCCAGCGTAGGCACCTAATTGGATAAAAAGCCAGCCAAGGGAGGTAATAAAATCATCGCCCCAAGCCGTGGATGCATCCAGGGCATAGTGGAGAGTTATCGTAACGTATACCCTGAAAGGGTGAAATTGGGTTTTACGTCGTGCTTGAGATTATTTCGCTCATATGACGACGTGCATGCGTGTGTGTGTATGTGCGGCTGCTTGTACTAGCCCAGACTGAAGCTGGTTTTATAGTGCTAGCCCACTGAGATACCATGCCGCAGTGAAGCATGAATACCCCACTCAGACACATTATACTGACTCCGAGCCTACCAGTCCTTGTTGTACCCATTAATGCCGAGCGCCAGGCAGGGACCAACAAGTACCATATTTTAACGTCTTTTGGTTTGACGCGGTCGGGGACCGAACCCGCGACCTTCCGCTATCCGGGCGGACGCTCTAACCACTACACCACGGAGGCGGTCGACTGTGAAACAGGAGACAGACTACATTGCAGGGAGGGCGAGGCAGTAGGGAAACTAATGTGGTTCAGGGACTATGAGACAGACTACATTACAGGGAGGGCTAGGCAGTAGGGAAACTAATGTGGTTCAGGGACTATGAGACAGACTACATTACAGGGAGGGCTAGGCAGTAGGGAAAACAATGTGGTTCAGGGACTGTGAGACAGACTACATTGCAGGGAAGGGCTAGGCAGTAGGGCAAATAATGTGGTTAAGGGACTGTGAGACAGACTACATTGCAGGGAAGGGCGAGGCAGTAGGGAAAATAATGTGGTTCAGGGACTGTGAGACAGACTACATTGCAGGGAGGGCGAGGCAGTAGGGAAAATAATGTGGTTCAGGGACTGTGAGACAGACTACATTACAGGGAGGTTGAGGCAGTAGGGAAACTAATGTGGTTCAGGGACTGTGAGACAGACTATGACCGTCACTATACTTACAGTTTTGACAATGTTGAGAACCGAGATGGGGAGCCTGGTCTTTGTCTTCTGGGAGATTATGTAGGGCAAATAGAAGACAGCGGACACCCATAAGAAAAACACCGACACCCAAATTAGCACTGTAGACCGGAAGCATGGCGTCAGCTCTGGCCAGGAGTTGTGTAAGAGTTCCGTGTTGTTCTGAAACATGGCAGACATTGGTTCAATATTGATAGTGTTTGCTGTTATTAGTAATGTGTAACATTGAAAGTGTTTGCTGTTATTAGTAATGTGTAACATTGGTAGTGTTTGCTGCTATTAGTAATGTGTGACATTGTTAGTGTTTACTGTTATTAGTAATGTGTAAAATTAATAGTGTTTGCTGTTATTAGTAATGTGTAACATTGATAGTGTTTGCTGTTATTAGTAATGTGTAACATTGATAGTGTTTGCTGCTATTAGTAATGTGTAACATTGATAGTGTTTGCTGTTATTAGTAATGTGTAACATTGATAGTGTTTGCTGTTATTAGTAATGTGTAACATTGGTAGTGTTTGCTGTTATTTGTAATGTGTAACATTGGTAGTGTTTGCTGTTATTAGTAATGTGTAACATTGGTAGTGTTTGCTGTTATTAGTAATGTGTAACATTGATAGTGTTTACTGGTATTAGTAATGTGTAACATTGATAGTGTTTACTGTTATTAGTAATGTGTAACATTGGTAGTGTTTGCTGTTATTAGTAATGTGTAACATTGTTAGTGTTTGCTGTTATTAGTAATGTGTAACATTGGTAGTGTTTGCTGTTATTAGTAATGTGTAACATTGGTAGTGTTTGCTGTTATTAAACGCCGACTCAGCAGTACTCACTCTTTCTGTTTGTTGTTTAACACCACACTCATGTAACGTGGGAAAACCACATTAACTTGGTGTGCCTAGTGGCAGCAAGACACTCCCCGGGCAGTTGAGAATGGTAACATGGCTGTGATTGACATCCAAGGAAAAATTTACCAGCGCTTTGAGCATGCATGCGGGATGGACTATAGTGCTATATAAATACCCATAAAATAATAATATACACCAGTGCGTTGCCATTTATACATTTATGATTACTCTTTCATGCTAACACTATACAATTACACCCCATTCCTGATGGAATTTTAGATGAATTCCATGAAAGTTGCATTCCTAAATATGTTGGGAAGCGCACGTACAATCTCCATGACGAGAACGCACATTTCTACAGTCAAAGCTGACACGCCCTAGCTAGTGTTGATTCTAACGAGCATGAAGCATTTTATTTATGGATGTTTTTGGTTTTAAAATACATCAAGTATTGTCTTATCATGATGCATTAATTCAATACAAAATCATACTATTTAGTTTGAGAGTAGGGAGTAATTCATGGGCTGCTAATTCCACCATATTAACGTAGGGTGTTGACACTCGCAAGAAATCTCCAGGCTAACTGTCTAAAGAAACTCCCCTCCACCGGCCACAGCAGGAATACATTTGAAATTCTATTTAGTTGGGTTGTTTTGGTGATGGTCAAGACAAACTCAAACCAATTTCATATGGCAATGATTGCATTTAACAAATGTGTTAAAAAAACCTTGAACTGAACCCGTATAATTTATTTTACACATGTATGCGCACATGTTAGACTAGACTAATGTTTAGTCTCTGAATATATAATTTTGATAGTAACCTATTTAAATTGAAAAGGAGTCCCGGAAGACCTGGGGGAAAATCTAGACTTCATTTAGAGCCTTAGCACTGCAGGGAGGGCTAGGCTGTAGGGAAATAATATGGTTCAGGTACTGTGAGACAGGCTAATGTTAGACCAACGATTTTGAATACAACTTGAGGAGGTATCATATTGCACCTTGGCTGAGTGAGACGAGGGAAGTGTGGAGGCAGCGAGTTTATTTCACCATGCCTCAACGGCGCACGCTTTGAGATTTGAGATATAACCGATTTTCTCCACAGGCGACAGAAAAGGTTATTGAGTATGGAAAATATAAACATTTTAGGAAAAGACATGTAGTTAGTGATAACCTCAACTCACTGTCAGAGGTAGAATTGAAACCGGATGAAACTAGTTTGTGGTTAGTGGTCCAGTGAGATCGATAGTTTCTCTACGCTGATTGGTCCAAATTAATGGCGTGATGTCATGGTGTGATGCTATGATGTGTCATCCGTTTCCAACGGGGTACGCGGTCATTGACCCCAGTCAGCCTGAGTCACACCGGAGTGAGTTCGATAGTTGCTCTATGCTGATTGGTCAAAACTAATGGCGTGATGTCATGGTGTGATGCTATGATGTCACGCTGGATCCGTTTCCCATGGGGCGCGCGGTCATTGCCCCCTGTGAAATGAGGTCAGCCAGGTGTTCGATGACGTCATTTGGGACTATACCTACCCCTATACAACATCAAAGTTCCTGGGTATTTGACCATGGCACCCAGAGGGCACTTGCCAAACTGGTTTCCACAGAGTCTTGTCTAAAGCTTTTGAACAGAGGTCCATTTTTGTCACAGCGGGACAGATTAAATTTGGAGTAAGGTTTTACGCCGCCTTCAGTAATATTACAGCAATATCAAGGAGTTGACGCCAGAAATTGCTTCACACATTGTACCCATGTGGGGATCGAACTCGCGTCTTCGGCGTGACGAGCAAACGCTCTAACCACTAGACTACCCCAAAACTCCTACACAAGCGGGACAGAGCAAGTTGGGAGTATGAGTGAGTTTAGTTTTACGCCGCATTTAGCAATAATCCAGCAATATCACTGCGGGGACACCAGCAATGGGCTTCACACATTGTACCCTTGTGGGGATCGAACACGGGTCTTCGGCGTGACGAGAGAACGCGTTAACCACTAGGCCAGTATCAGTAGCATTAATGGCAGAGTTCCGACATGTTGTGCTTCACAGTGCCAATAAAAGTGAAAACCCATTGTTCCAATCGTAATGGCACAGTAGAACAGTGTCCCTACGTGGGGAATCGAACCCGGCTTTTCAAGAGGTCTCAGACGTCCACAGAAGGTATCAAAATGAACTACAGTGTACCCGCACCTTCTGGTTAACATTGTGACGTCAATAATCTGCCCGAGGCTCGGCATGTTTAAGTGAGTGAGTGGGTTTAGTTTTACTCCGCTTATAGCAGTGTTTCAGCAATACCACGGCGGGGGACACCAGAAATGGAGTTCACACATTGTACCCATGTGGGGATTCGATCCCGGGTCTTCGGCGTGACGATTGAAAGCTATAACCACTAGTCTACCCCGCCGATCCAGCATGTTTCAATTTTCAACTTACATTGTTTTGTGTTGATAGTTGGTGCTTCCTGAGACGATTATTTCGTTGTATATCACCATTCTGTGTGTGAGTGAGTATGGTTTTACGCCGCTTTTAGAAATAGTCCAGCAATATTACGGAGGGGGGCACCATAAAATGGGCTTCACTACCATTTTGTGAGTCAAAACAACGTTAATATATTAGAGGGGGTGATTCAACGTAAGCATAACAATTCCTACATATACTGAACTGCAAAAGAAACGCAAGTTACTATTTTCAAAACATACGTTCCAACTGCATTCCTTTTAGGACAAAAAAGTATACCATTATAGAACCAAGCATTCGAAGATGGTTTTGCCGTTGTTGCCGCTTATTCTTAACCATATCGCCCAAACGCAATCATTTTCATGTTTTTCGTGTTTTTAGTATGAAGTTTTTGTGTTTCACACAAAAACGCGTGCATTTCACTCCAATTTGAAGCTTTATAAGGCAGGTCATTCAAAAAACACCATAGAACACAAAATTGACTGTGACAACGCGGAGAAAACATGCCACGTCTAACTGAACAGCAACGAGGAATCGCCGTTGGAATGTTGCAGACCGGATCCACACCAACTGCAGTGGCCAGGCACTTCAGATGTCACGTGACAACAATCACAAGACTATCCGCAAGGTATCGTCAAACCGGTAATGTTCGAGACTAACCACGTTCAGGACGTCCCAGGGTATCAACGCCATCGCAAGATCGTCACATCCGGGTTACTCATCTGCGTAACCGACAGCAGCGAGCAACACAGACAGCTGCAACCATTCAAGGGCCACAACGTCACATCTCTGCAGACACTGTTCGTCGTCGTCTGAGGGCAGCAGGGATCAGATGTCGCCGTCCTTACGTCTGACCGATTCTGACGCAACGTCACCGCCAAAATCGTTTACAGTGGGCGCGACAACACCAGCGTTGGCGACGTCAACAATGGCCACAAGTGTTGTTTTCTGATGAGTCCAGATTCAACTTGTCCCACGCCGATGGCCGATACGTGTATGGAGTCGACGTAATGAACGTTACGCCAACTGTTGTGTGGTGGAAGCTGACCACTGGGGAGGTGGGAGTCTCATAGTATGGGGATACGGATACGTCATTGGTAGACGGATACAGATAGCTGCTCAACCTCAAAACCTTAGAGATTTGGAAGCCAGATTGGTCAGGGAATGGAATCAAATTCCCCAAGCCTTCTTTCAGACACTTGTTGACTCGATGAGACGTCGTTGTGCTGCCTGCATTGCAACCAGTGGTGGTCACACGCGCCCCTGATTGACACACTGTTTCGTGACATTTTTGGTGTGTGAGGGTGAAGTGATAACATATGCTTTTACAGTAAACTTGAGTGTTGTTTTCACCAGAGGTCACGACTCATTTCTTCAACAATCACTTGTCTGTTGTTTTTTCGTAGTGTTAAGATTGTTTGTTCCATAGATTCAGAAATATTGACATTTCTACATCAACTTGCGTTTCTTTTGCGGTTCAGTATATTTCCAAAGTTGACCGATAAAGGGGCGATGGGAAAGTCTGGTGGTCTTATAGTTCCCTCATCACATTAAAGGCCCAGGAACGACCCCCTGCAATGCGACAATGTATGAATCCAATTATCGCTTAGCTCCGTCTAAGCAAACTGCTCAACCATAAAAACCCTATTCATTCCAAATGTTTCATAACTGAATGAGGCTTTCTGAATATTTCTTTGAAAGGTTGAGCGGTATTATTACATACTTATAATAAATCAGGTTTAAGTTTATAAGGTGCTTGCCTAGTTGTCAAAGCGTTCGCTAGTCATGAGGGGCGTTCGGGTAGCCTAGTGTTTAAAGCGTTCACTCGCCATGCCCAATGCCCTGGTTCGATTCCCAACTTGGGTACAATGTGTGAAGCCCATTTCTGGTGTCCCCTGCCGTGATGTTGCTGGAATATCGCTAAAAGCGGCGTAAAACCATACTCACTCACTAATTATGAGACAATGTATTTATAAACTCGTTGGTGAGGACACAAATATCAAATTACGAACAGTTGACCCATCAAATCATTAAACCATGTCAATTACATAAATACCAAATAAGTGATAAAACGTTGTCCCCAATTAAATAAACTTCTCATCAGGTATACGATTGTATATATTCGATGTAATTATTGCATTGGCGTATATGTCAACAAAGCATTAGGAATATTAATCTTTCATTTTACTCACCCAAAATGTTCCTCCACAAAAGTCTTCGAAACCGTTAGCCATTATGACGTTTCCTTAATCCGTGTTAATCAGCGTATCCAAAATAAAATGCAATGCACAAGTTCTGCCATCTACAGCTGATAAATCAACTCTTGGGCAAGTCCACATCCATCTGAAGACGACACAGCTATATCGTGTCCCCTTACTTTGAACGCGCTGCGTGGCTGAACATTAATGTTTTGTTTTTCCGTGCTGAATGAAGCGAAAATGAATTATCACTGCTCCCCGCCTGCACTGTGCACACATTGGCGGAACCAGAAGGGGGGTTCAGGGGATTAACAACCACCCCCACCCCCCCTCCCCCCGAAAATGACTTAAGACCACATTGAAGTTAATGTTTTGCATTGGCGGAGCCGAGAAGGGTTCGATCACCCTGACCCCAACCCCCTCCCCTTTAAAAGTCCTGGGTCCGCCTATGGCACAGGACCAAACGCCGGATAGTACACCATTGACATAAACGTAAATACAGTAGGAAATACATGCTATGACCGGAGTATCGTATGTTTCCAAATATTTCGTAACTTCGGGCATATATTTCATACAAATCTATACCTTTGAAACATTTGCTTATCGTACATTTTCGTATGAACAAATACCTCGTTCATGTATGCTTTGACCGGATTGCCAGCTCTGCAGGTAGTAACAGATACCCCAGTAAATACATGATCATACAGTATTTCTGATGCATTCCTTTGAATTTCAATGGGTGCTAAAAATTTCCGATTTCGTTCTAATTTTGCTTTGGTTGGAAACATGTAAATTTACTTAGGTGAGGAAACACATGTAAATGTTCAAATTTGCAAATGTTTACACACCATAGATATTTATTTATCATCCAAAACTGTGTTCCACAGGAGATATCGCTTGTGTGAGATCATATGATATCTCAGGAGATATCGTTTTGACAGTAGATTTTGTACAATGCCCTGACAATGCTATGCCGTCATCAACTTGATGACGTCACAGTGCTATGACATCTGCACTGCAAGTCTAATGGTAGTACAGTGTTGAGAGATGTACATTTTTCATTGAAAACTAATAAAGAATGATTTTTGATGATAAACAGAACCTCACCCTCGTGTCTACTGCTATCAATTATATCAACACTCCGTTGATAAAGGTAAAAATAAGGCAAACCTCGGATATTTGTAACTTTATCAACTCGTGTTGATATAATGATATCAGTAGACACGAGGGTGAGATTCTCTATGTATCATAACGGATTTCAGGGGTACATAGTATGCATATGTTTCCATCATGTGATTTACTTGGTTCATGTAATTTCATTTTCACACATTTCAATTCGTTTGAAATCATCGTTCATGTGCTCTCATTATTCTTATCACCAAAAGAGCCTGACAAAGAAAGCAGTATTACGCGAGCTAACACTCCTTATAAAGCTGCACTCGCTCTTGCGCTTCCAGCATCAGTTACGCCTTACGCAAATCTCGCGAGGTGCTTCTTTCGAGAGCTTACAAGTTTCAGTGGTGAACAAAGAGCGATGCGTTGTCCCTTTGTCCTCGCACGTGTCCCTTGCTGTACCAATAGAATAGCACCTTATCTCTCTTGGAGGACAGCCAAATACGCTACACGAACCAATTCGAAATTATTAAGTCTGTTCAGCTCGCGTGATCACTACTGTCAAATATTTTTTGGCAGTACATAAGTTGAATACTGTTGCACTGCATGTGACCTGACTGACCCATGTTATTTCTCCTTTCGCTCAGCCTTTGCTGTAATAATGCCATACTTGAACTTTAAAGTTGTCCACGTTTTCTTCACTAACGCAAAAGTATGCGATAACAAACAATGCCATTACATATCAAATTATATATTCTGTGAGACATGAAATGAAAAATAGTTTTTATCATGTAGCGATTATGACCGGATAGCACAGGCGGGTGCGTTCTCTGAGTATACCAATGGCATGTTTGTCCTCCGTGCCTTTTGTGAAATTCGTCCTGATTGTCCTGTCAATAAACTCAGATTGCGAAAGCAAATGTAACACAAGTAAATGTAATGTTGCATTGCTGTAATTTTCCCCGTCGGAGAAGTCCTTCTCACAAGATATATATTCTGTTGTTTGAAGCAGGCCTATGACTATTACACCCCAGTGTTGCTCGACATCTTGTAGACCTTTAGCCTGGCACAGACGCAGATCAGTTTAAGTTCAGATCTGACAGGTGCCGAAAATATTGATTTCGTCATGAATGCAATATCTCAGATTGTTATTGTTTTCCTAAGTTTGTGGAGTGCTTTATATAAAATTGGAGATACTTGTATAGTTGTCCTGATATTCCCCCGAACGGAAGCTCTACCCGTTTAGGGTACAATGAGTATGTTACAGATTTGTAGGGAATAGTCTTAAGACTTTTCTGTCCGGGTTAGAATGTACCTTCAGCAACCCATGCTTGTCGTAAGAGGCGACTAACGGGATCGGGTGGTCAGGCTCGCTGGCTTGGTTGACATATGTCATCGGTTCCCAATTGCGCTGATCGATGCTCATGCTGTTGATCACTGGATTGTCTGGTCCAGACTCGATTATTTACAGACCGCCGCCATATAGCTGGAATATTGCTGAGTGCGGCGTAAAACTAAACTCGCTCACTCACTGTTTAGTTTTACGCCGCTTCTAGCAATATTCCAGCAATATCAATATGACACAATAAAGACAAGTTGAACAGCGTCGCATTTATTTTGGTTTCAGAGTGGCAAAATTACAGACTTGCACAAATCAGTATATATTCAGTAATAGCTTCTTAACTTTTGCATTAAGTATAAAAACATGATGGTGACATAAGATCCATTGTCATAAGCAATTAATATGGAGACGTAATGATAGGCAAACCGAGTGCGTATGGTTTTACACCGCTTTTAGCAATATTCCAGCAATATTCCAGCAATATCCCGGCGGGCGACACCGGAAATGGGCTTCACACATTGCACTCACAAGCCGAATGAAATACCTCCGGCGATATGGATACAGCCATGTACTATCACTGACGGGGTCTTAGCACTATATCAGTGATAGTACATGCCTTGATGGCAGTTTTTTAGCGTTACAAGCCCCTGTGCATGAAACCGGTAAGCCAGACAGTCATTTTTATCACCTATTTCTCCGAGTGCAGGGAAACAACAAACACCACCTTTAATGTCTACTGATACAAAGGGCCTGGATTCGAACCAGGACCCTCCGCACCCAGGACAACGCTGTTCCCACTACACCAACGAGGCGTTCCTTCCGCCCTAGTATACCAGAACACGTCTGACCTACAGAGGAAATAACCCCACAGCGACTATGAACCACATCTTGTTTTTTCTATTTAATAGCATAGCATTTAACAATGTTACACGCCTTTAGCTTAGCTGTACTGTTGTACTATTGTATTTTACCATAAAAAAACCCAACAAAACTGCGGACATATTCTGGGTACACCGTAACGGTTCACTCAGCTAAAAAAGCTTTGTGAACGAGCTATAATACTCCATATAATACTATACTAAACTCAGTTAGACTAAGTGATCTAACTGTTGTATTAACAATAACAGTAAACAATAAGGACACGTGTACAAAGAAAAGTATGAATTCTGCAGTCAAGTGGCAGGATATATATGACATAAACGAGCACCGTTTACAATATATTGCAGTATAGAATAACCCTTTCTCTAATCTTCGTACAAGCACTTGCTTCTATTCTCATGTGACTGACTCATACTTGAACGGAACCCGAAATCTATAGCCTAATATTTCTTTTTAATGTATAACTGGTCCATTGCAATGATAAGCTTTTCAATCGTTTGCTTCTTTGAGTCACATGACCTGGTCCTACCAACCATCGAGGGAACAGTATTCGCTATAACAAGCATCGGCGCGACATTGAACAGCAAGGAAAATGAGATCCATCGGAAGTTGGCAGTACACAGAAGAGATGATGCTCAGCTGTTTATCAAGGCGTATATATACAATATACTGATTGTATTGGAGTATCACAGTTATATCGTCATCCACCATCCATCCATCTTTTCGTTCGTGGAACCAATCACGTACAGTAAACTGTACACTTCCTCAAGTACTTTCAAGGTCACGTCACCTCTTACAATGTCGTTTTTCACAGAACCTCAAGCTCCAGCGAGTTAATGAAGCGGATTCAAGGGGAGTTATACGCGACCTTGATATGTGGTTTGAAAACTTGACCTTCGTCGAAATAGAGGTCATATTCATATTAGGCCAGCATTTTTGGCCAGTCCGTAAAATATACTGTTTGAGTTGCTGAGAAGCTTTTCGGGTGTGTCGTACTCCTTTATCATCCCTGCGTCCATTACGATGATTCTGTGAAAACAAAAACTGAATTTAAAACTTCAACACCAGAATCAGAAAGTGAATCGGTTTTACGCGAAATACCAGAACCATCACGACAGAGTTCACCAGAAATATGCTTCACAAATTGAACCTTAGGGGAATCGGCAAGCTAATGTTTTTTCACCATACGCTTCACCGCTTTTAGCCCCAAAAATAATAAATAAAAAAAAAAAAAAATTAAAAATTTTTAAAACGTCAACACCAGAATCAGAAAGTGAAACGTTTTTAAGCGAAACACCAGCAATATCACGACAGAGCTCCCCAGAAATAAGCTTCGTAAATTGACACTTAGGGAAATCTAAATCGGGTCTTCGGCAAGCTAATGTTTTTTCATTACGAAGCCACCCACCACTTCAGCAGGCTAATTGAATGAGTTTGAATGAGTTTTACGCCGCTTTCAGCAATATTCCAGAAATAATCACGGCGGGGGACACCAACAAGTGGACTTCAAACATTGTACCCATGCCGGAATCGAACCCGGGTCTTCGGCGTGACGAGCGAACGCTTTATGGCTAACCCACCGCCCCCAACGCTACAGATGAAAACGGACACGCAAATCAGGCTCCTAGTCTAGCAGTTGTTCCATCACCCACTGTAACAAGTACCAACGTTTTATGCCTTAATGGAGTACATGGTCGGGGTTTGAAACCGGTCTTTCGGTCTCCAGGCAAACACTTTAACATGGTGAGAGATAACTAATGTGTTTGTGTAATATTTGGGAAGACAAACATCTTCCGTACCCACCTGTCATAATCCATGACCGTGTTCAACCTGTGAGCTATAGTGATGATGGTGCAATCGTTAAAGGCTTCCCTAATTGTCTTCTGAATCAAGGAATCCGTTTCCATGTCAACAGCTGCCGTGGCTTCATCAAGTACCAGGACTTTTGTGTGGCGCAATAGAGCACGAGCAAGACACACCAGCTGTCTTTGTCCAACGCTGCCAACACAAAATGGTTTTAAATGGCAGCAATAATTCATGAGTGCAGCACCAAATTTTAATTGGTCAGCTGATAAATTCGTGCACACAGATAATCACATCAGAATTAGTTGTAAATCATATATCCTGTACAGGCAGTTATCGATAGATTATATGAACATGCTAAAGTATGATGGTTTGGGAAGCTGATGGAGAGTGAGTGAGTGAGTGAGTGAGCGCCATCTTAAATGGCAATATTTCAGCCATATGACGACGGTATGTAAGAAGACAATCGAGTGATTGACATTATCTACGATGACATGCATCTACCAAGCCATCAAATCGATTTCCAAACTCTTATATCACGTATTGTGTTACTATTAAATGGAATTTACACACTCGTACATCACGTATTGTGTTACTATCAAGCGGACTAAAACTAAATATCGTGTATTGAGTTACTATTAAAGGGACTGTCTACACACCTGAGATTCTCCCCTCCTTCTCCACACTCGTACATCACGTATTGTGTTACTATTAAAGGGACTGTCTACACACCTGAGATTCTCCCCTCCTTCTCCACACTCGTATATCACGTATTGTGTTACTATTAAAGGGACTGTCTACACACCTGAGATTCTCACCTCCTTCTCCACACTCGTACATCACGTATTGTGTTACTATTAAAGGGGCTGTCTACACACCTGAGATTCTCCCCTCCTTCTCCACACTCGTATATCACGTATTGTGTTACTATTAAAGGGACTGTCTACACACCTGAGATTCTCCCCTCCTTCTCCACACTCGTACATCACGTACTGTGTTACTATTAAAGGGGCTGTCTACACACCTGAGATTCTCCCCTCCTTCTCCACACTCGTACATCACGTATTGTGTTACTATTAAAGGGACTGTCTACACACCTGAGATTCTCCCCTCCTTCTCCACACTCGTACATTACGTACTGTGTTACTATTAAAGGGGCTGTCTACACACCTGAGATTCTCCCCTCCTTCTCCACACTCGTACATCACGTATTGTGTTACTATTAAAGGGACTGTCTACACACCTGAGATTCTCCCCTCCTTCTCCACACTCGTACATCACGTACTGTGTTACTATTAAAGGGCTGTCTACACACCTGAGATTCTCCCCTCCTTCTCCACACTCGTATATCACGTATTGTGTTACTATTAAAGGGGCTGTCTACACACCTGAGATTCTCCCCTCCTTCTCCACACTCATATATCACGTATTGTGTTACTATTAAAGGGACTGTCTACACACCTGAGATTCTCCCTCCTTCTCCACACTCGTACATCACGTACTGTGTTACAATTAAAGGGGCTGTCTACACACCTGAGATTCTCCCTCCTCCTTCTCCACACTCGTACATCACGTATTGTGTTACTATTAAAGGGACTGTCTACACACCTGAGATTCTCCCCTCCTTCTCCACACTCGTACATTACGTACTGTGTTACTATTAAAGGGGCTGTCTACACACCTGAGATTCTCCCCTCCTTCTCCACACTCGTACATCACGTATTGTGTTACTATTAAAGGGACTGTCTACACACCTGAGATTCTCCCCTCCTTCTCCACACTCGTACATAACGTATTGTGTTACTATTAAAGTGACTGTCTACACACCTGAGATTCTCCCCTCCTTCTCCACACTCGTACATCAGCTGGCCGGGCACGTCCACCACGAACCTCTTGAGATGCGCCCTGTCCAGTGCCCGCCATATGTCGGCGTCACTGAACTCGTTGAAGGGGTCCAGGTTCATCCTCATGGTGCCGGAAAACAGAACAGGGTCCTGAGAAGGAGAGAAGGGAAAGAGACTTATGACCAATTAAACGTTTACTAGGACAGATATCCTGTCACATATTTGAAAAGTGCCAGTCATAACCTGACCTAATTGTCATCTTCTGTAGTTTTTGATTGTTGTTTAACTCGGCAATATGCCAGTTATGGCGGCGGTCTGAAAATAATCGAGTATGGACCACACGATCCAGTGATCAACAGCATGAGCATCGATCTACGCAATTGAGATACGATGACATGTGTCAACCAAGTCAGCAGGCCTAACCACCCGATCCCGTTAGTCGCCTCTTACTACAAGCATGGGTTGGTGAAGACCAATTCTAACCCGGATCTCATCATCTGTAGCTGAATTGTCAGTCACGACCTGATCTCATTGTCGGGTCTTCACGGGTTAGCGTGATCCACCATAATATCACAACAACAGCCTACCCAGCCTGGTTCCCGGGGTCTGTTGCGCCTGCGCCAACGCTCTGACAGCGTTAGCGCAGGCGCAGCAGACCCCGGGAACCATGCTCCAGTCTACCCTCCTACCTGGGGAAGAATCGTCAGTCTGGATCTGACGTCATACAACCCGATCTCAGCAATGTTGATCCCGTCTATCACAATGGAGCCTCCAGCGGCTTCAAGGATCCTAAACAGAGCCAAGGTGAAGGACGACTTGCCGGCGCCAGTTCTACCCACAATTCCCACCTGAAAATACATACAGACTTTGAATGTCATACACTGTGACTACTTGGAATAGTGAGCAGAATTGGATGGTCAAGCATTAATAGCGTAATGTGCAGAATGTGCAGAACAGTCATGGAAGGCGGAATGTGCAGGAGTGAGTGAGTGAGTATGGTTTTACGCTGCTTTTAGCAATATTCCAGCAATATCACGGCGGGGGACACCGGAAATGGGCTTCACACATTGTACCCATGTGGGGAATCGAACCCGGGTCATCGGCGTGACGAGCGAACGCTTTAACCACTAGGCTACCCCACCGCCCCCGGAATGTGCAGGAAATGGTATAGTCTGTCATACGGACCCTTAAACAAATATATCCAAGAAAAACCATGCATGTTTAGAATATGTGGCAAATCTTGATTACGACAGTTTTAAGAAATGAAGAAAGTCTCTGGGCTCCTTTTGATTATTTTTTATGATTATAATTTGGGGACCTTTTTTACGTTCACTTCAGAGACGAGATGTTAGTCTAGATAGGGTGGTGTGAGCGGAAATAGCCAGAAAGAGAGGGATAGTGAAGGAGTGTGAGTGAGTTTGGTTTTACGCCGCTTTTAGCAATATTCCAGCAATATCACGGCGGGGGACACCAGAAATGAGCTTCATACATTATACCCATGTGGGGATTCGAACCCGGGTCTTCGGCGTGACGAGCGAACGCTTTAACCACTAGGCTACCCCACCGCCCTTGGATAGTGAAGGAAACGCTGAGGCGGAATATGCAAGCATGCACAGGCGGAATATGCAGAAAATGGAGAATGTTCATGAAAGGGCTGAATATGCAGAACAGGCTTGTAAATCGGATCGTCGGAGAATAGCCACACATACACATTTTAGCCACGGTATGAGTTCATTGATTTGGATATACAGAATACCATACAATTGATCGGTTTGGTCTTCAATCATTCTTTAATCACTCATAATGACCAATGACACGTGCATCAATATTCACAAACACAACTGGTTGGAAAAAAATAATATCTCGTTCTCACCTTCTGCCCTCCGTTGATAGTACACGTGATCCCCTTGAGGACAAGGTCAAGGCCGTCCCTGTATCGTGTCCTGTAGTTGTTCAGGTGCACGGTACCATTCTGGGGCCAGTCTGTGGGGGGTCGAGAGTCTGGGAGGACCGCGTCCGCCTGCCAACATCCACCATCACGCATGCGTTAGTAGACCAACGTTCAGTCGTTGAAGAGACATATTTTGTTAGAAACTACATTTAAGATGAATAGGAGCCCTATCGTGATGGACAATCTTGACGTCGTTTTGGGCTTATGGCATGACAGTAATGGCTAGGCTGAAGGGAGAATAGTGTCGTCCAGATATTATGAGACGGGCCTATTCTATTCTTGCACAATTTAAAAGGTCATTTTCCCAGCTCGTGGATGGGCCCCGGGAGGGTTTAAAGAGGCTGAAGATGTGACTCATCTTTCCAAGGCACACATTCTTGTCTCTCTAACGGGATACGGCGAACATCCCGGTAGAGACAGTTGGGTTTTACGCCCCTTTTTTTCAATATTTCAGTAATATCACAAAGGAGGACACAAGAAATGGGCTTCAAACATTGTACCCATGCGGGCAATCGAACCCGGGACTTCGGCGTGACGAGCGAACACTTTAACCACTAGGCTACGTCACCGCCCCCACATCCAGGTAGAGCGGAAACTACATAACATAATTATTTATGCGCTGATACCGACCATCCAAAGACAGCCTTGATTCACAATTTACATTTTTCCTTCCGGTAACACCTACCTCTGTTTGCAGCTCGGAATACTCCTTCACCCTCTCTACAGAGACAATATTGGTTTGGAGGTCACTGATCTGCTTCACCATCCAGCCCATAGCGCCGGACACCTGCAGATAAAGGGTCAACGATTATGATTTGACCTTGCGTTCAGGATTATTGCAATTCTATAGCGATATGCGTGCATGTGTAATGTTGTATGTCCTAGAACGGCTAATGTCGCTTGTGGTGAGAGTTAACTGCGACAACCTGCCCAAGGGTCGCAACTGTCAAGGAAGGGGAAGCGGTGTGGCAACAGCCTGTCCCGAAAAACATTGCAGTGAGTGAGTGAGTTTAGTTTTATGCCCCTTTTCAGAACTATTCCAGCAATAATACGGCCCAGGACACTACAAATGGGCTTCAAACATTGTACCCAGGTCTTCTACCTGACGTGCGATTGCCTTAACCACTAGGCTACCCCACGGGAAACTTTGCCGACACATATACAAACCTGTAGTGCGTATGACACCGATAGTCCTAGCTGACCCCCACTGGCGTCTGGAGACAACACAGCAAAGATGGCGGAGGCAAAGATGATGATAGTTCCGATCATGTCCAGGTAATATGAGAGCCATCTGCATCATTAGAGTGAATTAGTTTAGTTTAACGCCGCTTTTAGCAATATTCAGCAGTATCACAGCGGGACATCAGAAATTGATTTCAATATTGTACCCTTGCCGAGAATCGAACCCGGGTCTGCAGCGTGACGAACGAAAGCAGTAACCACTGGGCTACCACACCTCCGATGCATCATTAAAGGGTTGTTGCAGTTTGGTTCAACGGGCAGCAAGCCAGCAACACAAACGGGCGAACGAGATTCGAACTCACGAACATAGGTTTCTGTCGTGCTAGCTCAGTATGGGAGAAAACTCTGAAATTTGCGACGTTCGTGAAAACTGTACAGAAACATTCATTAAAACTCTCACAATCCTGAATTATTTGGTCTAGTGTACTATCTTTCATGAAAGACATAACTTAAATATAAACCTCAACACAACTATTTTCCTTTTGCGATAATCTCGTATTTTCTGAGAAATTATCACAAGCATATTTCAATCATCTACTGACTGACTGAGTTTGGTTTTACGCCGCTTTTAGCAATATTCCAGCAATATCACGGCGGGGACACCAGAAATGGGCTTCACTCATTGTACCCATGTGGGGATTCGAACCCGGGTCTTCGGCGTGACGAGCCAACGCTTTAACCACTAGACTACCCCTTCAATCATCTAACGAAACAAGATGACTAATACCATATTCAACTTTTCGTATTGACAAACAATAGGTACGAAATGCCTTCACCTTCCCGCCATTGACAGAGGTCGTCGAAAAGAAAAACGTCAAGTTTAAGTTGATGATACGGAAATTTTACGTGTGCTTTTCGACATGATGGGTCTTTAGTGTTGCAGTTCGTTTGTTGCAAGACAACGCATTAAGCAATCTTCAAAATGCCGGTGGCATAACACCCGCATAAGTTGGGGCCAAACTAAACAGCAATTCATTTGTGCATCATCTGAGCATCATTTGAGCATCATGCACACGGTGTTGCTATGACGAATCTTTACCTGTTCGAGACGATGCCTCCGAAATAGAAAACCTGATTTTTGTCCACTCTCTTCTTGGACTCGTCTATGAATCTGTCCACGGCACCGTATGCCCGAATACTGCTGGATCCAGTGATGGTCTCGCTGAAGTGGACGTAGACGGGGGAGCGTGTCACGGACTCGATACGTTTCAGTTGGCAGGAAGTCGGAATGTAGAAATTCTGTAAAATTTGATGTCATCAGAAAATATGTAAACATTTGCGTTCTAAATGTTTAATACAGAAATGAACATATTTAAACATTTTGTTTATAACGCTGTCTTGATTTTCCCGACAAATGTTCTAGACTTGCTTGGGCTTACATTTATATGCTGATTTAATTCATACCCTGATTTAAAAATACTTTTATTTAACAAATATTTTCAGTTTTAATGGTGCCTAGTATTCCACTGTCGCTATGTTACATTATGGATTACTGACTGATTTAGTTGGCCGCTTTTCAATATTCCACTTTGCGGGGACACCAGAAATGGGATGGGGAATAGATTTTGACGAGCCAACGTATTAGGCTACCCCATCTTTCATTTGGAAATCTACTTGGGATGGGATCGGAATAGTCTTTCGCTGCTGGGTTGAGCACTTTGAGCAATATTTCAGGTATATCATTCCAATCAACGTACTTGCAGGCGTGTGTGCGTGCGTGTGCGTGTGTGTGCTTGTACATGTTCAGCTTGTACAAGATTTATAGCTTGCTCGCTCTCTGAGCCTTGTACAAGGTTTATATTTGTTTGTTTGTTGCTCTATATGGTGGCGGTCTGTAATATATCGAGTCTGGAACAGACAATCAAGTGATCAAGAGCATGAGGATCGATCTAGGAAATTGGGATACGATGACATGTATCAACCACGTCAGCGACCTACCGATCCCGTTAGTCGCCTTTTACGACAAGCATGGGTTACTGAAGATCAATTCTAACCCGGATCTTCAACGGTCAGTTTAACAACAATATGCCACACCCACAGATTATATATCATTATCTGTTTGACGCCGTTTTTTAGCAATATTCCAGCAATATCAAGGCGGAGGGACACCATAAATGGGCTTCACACATTGCACCCATGTTGGAATCAAACCCGGGTCATCGGTGTGACAAGAGATCGATTTAACCACCAGGCTACCCCACTGCTCTTCCTAAGGCCTCTTAATTGATATCATAGCGTCTGATACTCTACACAGCAAAACCACATTCCAACTGGCATGTTTTCCAACATGACTTCTAGTGGTCCGTACACCATTAAATACGTCCAGTTATTCCCCTTAGATGAAGTTCAGTGAGATGTTTTACTTGTTTTCCCTGTAAGAATTTACTGAATCGTGAGAAACATTTTAGGACATAGAATAGCGTTTAATATGTTCGATGAATATTGAAATTGCAATTGTGTGTTGATTATTGGCGCAAAATGATGTTTTAACCAATTTCCATCAGAATAACTGAAACCCTTCAAATGAATGTGTGACCTCGCCTCACCTGTATGAAGTAGTAGAGGATTAGCAGTGGAATCATCACGGCTATGAAGAGAGGTGTATTTATACTAATGATGACAATGGTTCCCAACACGTTCGTCACTGTCGACATGAACATCCTCACGATAATTGGCAGCGTGTTGTCGATTGTCTCAACGTCACGTGACATCCGGTTGATGATTCGTCCGAGGGGCGTGGTGTCGAAGAACGCCATGGGTGATCGGAAGACGCGGCTAAGGATTGCTTCGTGGAGACGTGCGGCGGCTCTGACTAATCTCGTCCAGAACAGATAGCCACAGACTGCCATGATGGCGACTGAACAGAAAATAAATGACCTGATTTAATTTAACGGACACTTTGATGTTATATTTGTGTAACCACTTAATCTTATTTCTGAAATGAACACATTTGCCAGAAACATACGGTTTCTAAATTATGTTATTAAATACAATAAAAAGGAGCCCAGAGAATCTTCAGTTCCAGAAACTGTGGTAATCTAGACTAATTACTCTTCTCATTCAAGACTTGCATGGACTGTACATCGTCCAGAATCAGTATGAGGGACTAGAAACAATAGAGTCCAGGCCAAACTGAGAAGGAAAGATTTTTTAGATGACCCAGACCCTGATCAACATTTTCCCGTTAAAGGATTCACGTGATTTCCGCATCTAACGGAATAGAGAAAAAACACATGATCTGATTTAAAGTGTACGTGGCAGCTTCAAGTCGAGTGGCAATGTCGGGGCTATACAATTCCGAGCCCAGTGGATGTTTTGACTCGAACCAGGGAACTTTGATCTTGGATCGGACGCATTGTCCATATGATCAAAGCGAAGCAATATGCTTTGCTATACACCTGGCATTGATAACCATACACTAACCTTAGTAGAAACACGTGCCTTAACATGCTACAATGCATACTCTGCTAATAACACACAGCATGCTAACAACATGTACATCGAGATAACGTCACACAAATACTGTTACCAACACACCAATCATGCTAACTGCAAACACATCATGCTAACAACATGCATATCGTGCTAACGTCACACAAATACTGTTACCAACACACCAATCATGCTAACTGTAAACACATCATGCTAACAACATGCATATCGTGATAACGTCAGACAAACACTGTTACTAACACACGAACCATGCTAACTGTAAACACATCATGCTAACAACATGTACATCGTGATAACGTCAGACAAACACTGTTACTAACACACGAACCATGCTAACTGTAAACACATCATGCTTACAACATGCATATCGTGCTAACGTCACACAAATACTGTTACCAACACACCAATCATGCTAACTGTAAACACATCATGCTAACAACATGCATATCGTGCTAACGTCACACAAATACTGTTACCAACACACCAATCATGCTAACTGTAAACACATCATGCTAACAACATGCATATCGTGCTAACGTCACACAAATACTGTTACCAACACACCAATCATGCTAACTGTAAACACATCATGCTAACAACATGCATATCGTGCTAACGTTTCACAAATACTGTTACCAACACACCAATCATGCTAACTGTAAACACATCATGCTAACAACATGCATATCGTTCTTACGTCACACAAATCTTGCTAACAACAGCATCACCTTGACAACAACACATATATCGTTAACACAAACACTGCTAACAATACACAAGTTCGACAACACACACTTTGTTAACAGACACGTTTTGATAACACACACATTGATGAAAGCGGACACCTCGCTAACACACACTTTGATAGCATTACACACCTATAGCTAAGGCGAAGGACCAGTATGTTCCAAGATACTTCTTATTCAATGCCGCATACTCTTCCGGTGGGAGGGACGAGGAATTGCCGAGCTGTGGATCTTCCGTCCAGTTGGTGAGGTAGAATCCCGCCCCCGTGTTTACGGCTTGGAAGGCGAAGAAGAGGATAAGTGAAAGCGTGATGGTCGGTAGCCCTGCAGCTTTTCCGTACATCAGAAACACATTCCACCGGACCTGAAGTGAGTGATTACGGTTATAAAGGGGGACAAATTGTTATTGAGTAAGTGAGTGAGTCGGGTTGTACGTCGCTTTTCGCAATATTCCAGCAAAATCACGTCGGGGGTCACCAAAAATGGTCTTCACGCATTGTACACATGTGGGGAATCGAACCGGGATGGAACGAACGCTTTAACCACTGGGCTACCCCACCGGACCTGAAGTGAGTGATTACGGTTTAAAAGGAGACAATGCGCGCATGCTGATGTTAACAGCCAAACAACAAACACCATGTTTTAATTAAAAAAAAATTAAAAAACGATTTTATACCGACATGGCCACTCAAGATGATCATATTTATGATTCCTTATCTTGAAGCATCGGACTAACCCATTATAAACTGTAAGCTTGCTTAAGAGGTAGTCGGGACAGCCTGGGAAGAACATTGAAAATACATGTACACGACCATCCTAGTGAGTGAGTGAGTCAGTTTAGTTTTCAGCAATAGTCCAGCTTTATGGCGGCGGTGTGTAAATAATTGAGACTGGACCAGACAATCCCGTGATCAACAGCATGACTATCGATCTACGCAATTGGGAACCGATGACATGTGTCAACCAAGCCAGCGAGCCTGACCACCCGATCCCGTTAGTCGCATCTTACGACAAGCATGGGTTACTAAAGATCAATTCTAACCCGGATTTTCACGGGTACCACACCATCCAAGCAACAGACATGGCAACAAAGACAGTAATCTCCGTTTGTGACGTACATTCGATTGTTGTTTTTCGCCGCACTCAGCAATATTCCAGCTATATGGCGGCGGTCTGTAAATAATCGGGTCTGGACCAGACAATCCAGTGATCAACAGCATGAGCATCGATCTACGATGACACGTGCCAACCATGTCAGCGAAGCTGACAACCGTGGATCCCGTTAGTCACCTCTTCCGAAAAGCATGGGTTGCTGAAGACCAATTCTACCATAACTTTAGTAAATACTGGATAGTGATTGGTTAATCAAAGTCATTCAGAGGTGTATATTCACGTTATATACCCCTGATTTTCCAACACAGTATATATTTCTTTTAAATCTTAATAACGCGGTTATGGTAGAATGGAGATAAACGTACTGTGTTGGAAAATCAGAGGCATATAACGAAATTATTATAGCTCAAAATTATTTATCTTCACTGGTGACCACGTTTATAACGAATTGATATGACGAATTGTTTCTGTCCCGGCTACTAGTCTATTTTAGTCGAAATGCGTATAACGAACTGCGGTTATAACGAACTACAGTTATAACAAGTGCGTGAGTTTAGTTTTACGCCGCTTTTAGCAATATTCTCGCAATATTCCAGCAATATAGCGGCGGGGGACACCAGATACTGGCTTTACACATTGTACCCATGTGGGGAATCGAACCCGGGTTTTCAGCGTGACGAGCGAATGCTTTAACCACTAGGCTGCCCCACCGCCCGGTTATAACGAAGTATAATTAGTGGTTCATATGAGTTTGTTATAACCGTACTTTACCGTCGTATACCGTAGTTCCGTATTCTATCTTCTTTGGGTCGTTACACGACATATATCACACTCATAATGTTCCTAAACTTAAGGTATTACGATTCGTCATGAAACGTTTCAGTTGTCCCCTCACCTTTCCTGTCTCCATGGTTTCCGTCTGTGTCAGTCGTCCTTGTAATGCCTTCATGGTGTCGGTCTCTTTCTTCTCAATGGTCGATCTTCTCCTCCCTGACCCACTCAGTCCCTGGCTTGTTCGCCTGTTACAAACAAATGAATAGCTAGGATTTACCCAACACATGTAGTACATACACTCACTTAATCCAAGGTTCGTCACACAGAGATAAGAATAGCCAGCGATGTACCCTACCGTATAGAATCTTGCAGACATATAGACCCACTCAATCCCTGGGCTTTTACACCCTTGGGGTACACCTTAATATATAATGTATGTTAACTTGCTGGCTTGAATAAATAGGATTCGTTGCGGAATACTATCAACGAAAAGGGAAATTTCCCGCTGAAGTATAGTGGCAATAGATGGGTACCAGGTAGGCGTAGTTGAGCAATTATTGTCCACTCCCAGCGTCTTCATAAGCAGGCTCAACTACTTTCCAGAAAATAACGCCGAGCTGACCCGAGCCGAGCCGAGCCCAGCCGAATTGTTATCATTTACCGTTATATTATCAAAGTGTAAGATACCTCTTTCTGAGCCTTGATGAGCCCTCGTCGGCCGACGTACCATCTGACGTCACAGATTCTACCCTTTCCAGCATTTTCTCCTTGATCATCTGGACTGTGAAGTTAAAACAAAAATAAACAATGGTTTAAATGTATCGATCTTGTGACATATAAACAAAAAATATAAAATAACATTTGTTGTGACTCCTTTGACTGGCATTCCAAAAGTTGGGTAGATGAAGGATGAGGACTATTTTTATGGATATACAACTTCTTTATTCTGTATAGGCGACGTTTCGACATAGATTCTAATGTCATTGTCAAGCAAGTGAGAACGACAACGATAACGACAACGATAACGAAATAATATCGGAATCGAACCCACGATCGATTGAGTATAGTTTTACGCCGGCTTCAGCAACATTTATGCTTTATCTATTTCTCAGTAGCCAATCAGTATCTACATAGGACGAAGACTTTGTGTGAGGACCTTCTCTCCAAAGTAAAAAAGAAATCTACGTTAATGACTATTTCCCATGCCGAAGTTTATACTTTTTATGCCAAAGAAAAAGTGTGAAAGCTGAACTGATGCATTTTCACCCAACTCGTAATTTGATTGTTTTCCAATCTATTATCACTATTATCCAGTGACTTTGAACATTTAACATTACACCATTTACCTGAAATGTGGAATCTTAAATTGACATTTCATCGATATAAGTATTGAATAGATATGACAAAACATACCCATCAACGACATCATGCATATATTATGATGGATAATACACCACACCATTGATAATATTGACAACAACAAAATGCATACACCTCTTCCTCATGTGGCAGTGTGTGGAGCTCGCTGGCGTCAAGTACAACAGCCAGTGAATGCGACTGTCCCTTAACTTCTTTGGGAAACAACAGGGAGCTGTGATCAGTTCTTGGCCTAAATGTATTTGCTTCAAATTCGATATTTACCCGAAAGAAACCACGAGCTATATGACCCCAATGTATTTACTTTTGATATAATCACGTTTGAAAACACAAAAAATTGAACCAAAAAACAAAAAAAATAATACGATCATACACCTTCAGCTTATCATACACCTTCGACAAGTACACGTGTCCTCGTATAGCAAATTATAATATTCGTTAAGTACACACGTGTCCTTGTAGAAATATTTAAATGAATAAACATACGCATGCATAAATCAACTATAGTCCGTTTGGCTCAAAAGCGGACCGATGAATTGCAATGTAACTCGAAAACTAATAACCATAAAATACTCAATGAAACGCTGATCACAATAAAAACGTCAGACCTACTCTGTGAGGTTTTTGCAGAATTTATGTCCTAAAAATAAAAAAGTTGTTTAACAAACTATCATTAAAACATTGACACAGTTCACTATTTGTTACGAGGGAGGAGTGCAGAGAAAGGGACAGCCAGGTGTGCGAGAAAGGATGGAGACGGCACAGCACGGGTTAATGAATCAATAACTTGGTTGGCACTTGTGCACGTGCTTCTCGAACACCTGGCTGTCCCTTTCTCTGCACTCCTCCCTCGTAACAAATAGTGAACTGTGTCAATATTTTAATGATAGTTTGTGAAACAACTTTTTTAATTTTAGGACATAAATTCTGCAAACAAATCACAGAGTTGGTCTGATGTTTTGATTATGATCAGCGTTTCATTGAGTATTATATGTTTATTAGTTTTCGAGTTAGATTGCAATTCATCGGTCCGCTTTTGAGCCAAACGGACTATACATATAGTACACAACATCAATAACATCGGCACCAGCATGTATGTACAGAGCTTTTCGTCATCCTCCATCGGCAGTGTGCGGAGTTCGTAGGATTCGGCCATGTTTTGAATATAGTAATCCTCCTCAACAGCAGAGCAATCGTCGCTGTAGTAGCTGATGTCGTGGTAATGTCGTTGTCCTTTTGTGCAGCGGCAAACACACACCCACACATGAATATTGATATAACCTTTTTATGTTGTTTTATGCCGCACTTTACAACATGCCAGCTGTATGACGGCGGTCTGTTAACACGATTCAGTCTGGACCAGACAATCCAGTGATTGACATAATGGGGATCAGCTACGCAAACGTTTTGCGATGACATGTGTCAACCAAGTCAGCGAACCCGACCACCCGATCCCGTTAGTCGCCTCTTACGACAAGCATGGCTTACTGAAGATCAATTATAACTCGGATATTCAAGGGTACCATGCAAACGAGGCATAGTGAAAAAGTATGGTACACATAATAATCAGAATTGCAGATATACAAAAGGCGACACCATGACCGCTGTCAGATTTCACCACCAAATAATTTCAGTTCATGTTATACAAATATAGGATTAAGGGTAATGACAGTCTTGAAATGGATCATCAAGTACGATACAGAGATGGATATTACAGGCTAATGGAGATGGACTGACTGACTGAGTTTGGTTTTACGCCGCTTTTAGCAATATTCCAGCAACATCACGGCGGGGTACACCAGAAATGGGCTTCACACATTGTACCCATGTGGGGATTCGAACCCGGGTCTTCGGCGTGACGAGCCAACGCTTTAACCACTAGGCTACCCCACCGCCCCTAATGGAGATGGAAAATGCAGTTGAAGGTATAATGACGACGCTTCAAGCCGTCCTGCACTGAAGTGAGAGAGTCTGGTTTTACTCCGCTTTTAACAATATTCCAGCAATATCACAGCGGTGTACACCAGAGATGGGCTTCACCCATGTGGGGAATCGAACCCGGGTCTTCGGCGTGACGAGCGAACGCATTAACCACTGGGCTACCACACCGCTCCTCAACTTTAATGAAACCCACGTGCGACTTGGTATGGTGTTGCCAAACCACGAAACAGTCGAGGCGAACCGGAAGTGTCAAATCGTAGGTTGTTTGAGTGTCCAAAGGGAAACAGCTCTGCAAGGAGAATAGCGGCGCCTGACAAGACTGGGTAACGTGTGCAAACGCTGTACAACCAGCATAAAACAAACATACACTCCATTTCTGTCAAAGACTTGTTTTCTGTGACACGCTGCTGAAATGTTAGGCTGGCAAAATACACGCTGTGCTGAGCTGTGCTACTTCAGTGGGCACTTGAAGTTCCTGGCGGGAAATAAAGAATTAATGGAGAAACTGATTTTTTGCACTCACTTTCTGGATCCTCACTCTCATCATCTTCCTGTTCTATGAGGTAGGTCTTCAGGAACTGGGCAAAATGGCCGTCGTGGGACATAAGCTCGTCGTAACTTCCGGTCTCAGTGATGCAGCCGTCATTCATGACAATTATGTGGTCCACCATGGGGAGCCAGTGGACGCCGTGTGTCACCAGGATCCGGGTCTGTTCAAAAGAGCTTGGATTTACGCTTTCCCATCTCAGATCTCTGACATTACCACTAATTGTACTCGAGGAATAGGTTCAATAATATTATAAGAAACTAAACAGTGAGTGAGTGAGTTGAGGTTTACGCCACACTCAGCAATATATTCCATCTGTATGGCGGCGGTCTGTAAATTAAAGGGATCTGGACCAGACAATCCAGGGATCAACAGCATGAACATCGATCTACGGAATTCGGATACGATGGCATGTGTCAACCAAGCCAGCGAGCCTGATCACCCGATCCCGTTAGTCGCCTCTTACGACAAGCATGGGTAACTGAAGATCAATTCTAACCCTGCTCTTCGCGGCATATGTGGCACTGACTTCTTTGTGATGAAGTGTTGCAATTGCAATTGAACGATGTTTGGTTCTGTTCAGATACAGCAAAGGGCACTGGTGAATAAGTTACCATATTTAGACAGTGGGTTAATACCAATCTATAAGCCTCTGGGAGAGCTGGGCAAATCCAGCATATTGCAGAATGCTCTTTGAGAGATTTACACGGCATACTTTTATGTGAGGTGAGGTAAGGTGAAATTGGGTTTAACGACGTGCTTGAGAATATTGCGCTCATATGACGACGTGCATGCGTGTGTATGTGTATGTGCGGCTGCTTGTACTAGCCCAGGCTGAAGCTGGTTTTATGGTGCTAGCCCACTGAGATACCATGCCACAGTGAAGCATGAATACCCCTCTCAGACACATTAGACTGACTCCGTGCCGACCAGTCCTTGTTGTACCCATTAATGCCGAGCGCCAGGCAGGGACCAACAAGTACCATATTTTAACGTCTTTTTGTATGACGCGGTCGGGGATTGAACCCGCGACCTTCCGCTCTCCGAGCAGACGCTCTAACCACTACACCACGGAGGCGGTTACATTTATGTCTTCTCATATCACATCAATACAAGACCAGCAGCATGGGAAGTTCGTCATATCTCACCCTGGATACATCCTCTTTGGGCCTATTTTGGAAGCCTGAACACGCGATCCCGTTAGTCGCCTCTTACGACATGCATGGGTTGTTGAAGAGCAATTCTAAACCTGATTTTCAGGGTCTTTAACAACATTGACCCATCTAAAACAATTACACACCACCATCGGGGTACTGTGGCTGAATCGGAAACTCACGTGACCAGCCGAGCCGGTGCTTGCATGTAGGACTAGCAAAGAACACTGGAAACATACTTGACTGACTGAGTTTGGTTTTACGCCGCTTTTAGCAATATTCAAGCAATATCACGGCGGGGGACACCAGAAATGGGCTTCACTCATTGTACCCATGTGGGGATTCGAACCCGGGTCTTCGGCGTGACGAGCCAACGCTTTAACCACTAAACTACTCCACCGCCCCGTACATACTTGAAGTTATTATCTTCAGAAGACACATTCATACCTTTCCATGGAGTAAGCCATTGGGGCCGATGACTTTCTTGAAGATGTGTTTTCCCACGTGGCTGTCCACGGCACTCAGAGGGTCATCAAACAGATAGATATCCGCGTTGTTGTAAACCGCACGTGCAACACTCACGCGCTGCTTCTGACCTCCGCTCAAGTTGATACCCTGAAGGTCAAGGTTAAGGTCACTAATACCCATATATAAATGCTTTGAGTTGTTTCAAAATAAATCCGTAAGTAAATAATCGAGTCTGCACCATACAATACAGTGATAAACATCATGAGCATCGATCTACGCAGTTGGGATATGATGACATCTGAACACCTGACAGTCGCCTTTTACGCCATGCATGGGTTGCTGAAGACCAATTCTAACCCGGATCTTCAAGGGTAGAATTCCATCTTTAATAGGGCGTGTCACACGTTTACATTTTTGGTGAATCTCAGGAGCACTGTTTGGTGTTGATAAAGCTAAAATGTTCGAGCCAGGATTCGAACCCACATAGGCGGGCGCAAGGGACGCAACTCCTTACAGCTAATTGCGACGCGTTGTACGGCTTGACCAATCGTGTCTCTGTCGGTTTCAGAGCCTTAGAATGATGCTCCTATGATGGCCCCGATCCTAATTTTCATGGAATTTATGTTTTCTGTGTCGCAAAATAACGGGTTTTTAGAATGTTCAATGAATTTGTTTCACAAACAATACTGTTCATGATTCAACTCAAACTATGTCATTATGAAACAATAACATATCTTGAGGTTATATCGTCGTATCATGATTATATCTTACACCAATTACGGGATGGAATATTAATAGTCTTCTTTAGAATAGACTGTTGCCGGTCTAACTAGCCTTACGCATCATACCTTTTCTCCTATTTCAGTCTCATCCCCGGCAGCTAAGATAGAAAGATCCGGCTTCAGTGCGCATGCGTCGATCACTGTTTGATACTTAGTTTCCCGGAATTTTTTGCCAAAGAGTATGTTGTCTTTGAGTGAGGCGTTTTGGATCCAGGCTTGCTGTGGCACGTAGGCCGTTGATGACTGAAAAGAAAGTAAAAGAGAGAGTGATAAACTGATTATTTCCAAGTGGTTGTTCTGATCGTTGGTTGGATCAGTGAGAATAGAAGACGTAAACAAGACGTTTTGTAGATTGTCCCTGGTTGGCGGGTGAGTCTTGGTGAAATGAAACGTTACAGATCATGCATTAGGTAAATAATAAATGAATGGTTCATTGCTGTTGTTAACAGGTAGGAATTAAGTGACGACCGACAGTGTTTAGTTATCTTACCTTGACCGTTACAGTGCCTGACAGTTTCTCCATCTCACCCAAGATGGCGGATAAAAACGATGACTTCCCGCTACCCACGTGACCAACAATGGCGACAAGTTTTCCTTCCGGCACCCTCAGATTGATGCTTGTCAAAGAGACAAAAACCCAGAAAATCATACACACATAAAACGCATGACTTCAGAGATTGTTTATAGTAATCAGCTGTTGCCAGAGCATAGGTTGAAGTTTCGATCAGATTTTTTGTTGTTTGTTTGTTTTGGCTAACGACAATATTCCAGCTGTATTTCCCCGGTCTGCAAGACGAATCTGGACCAGACAATCCAGTGACTGACATTATGGGATACGATGACCACGAACCTCTCCAACCTATCCTGTTAGTGACCTTTCACAAATACATGGGTTCCTGAAGACCATTTCTTACCGGATGCCATGGTTGCTATGGTTGCTATGGGGTAAAAGCAATTTCGAGTACGTGGATATAGTCTAGTACGATGTCTGTGTTTAAAGGCTCCTTGACACTTATTTCAGATTGATAGGAATCAAGGAGAATCAGCCAGAAAAGAATATTTCCAAAATTAGAACCGCATTCGGGAGAGAATGTCAAAATAAACAATTTTTTCAAGCTTGTAAGCATGCGACTCGCAAATGCTACCTGACGTTTCAGTGACAGGTGGCCACGTTTTTATGCGATTCGGCGGTGTTCTGATGACGTCAGGGCTCATTTGAAGAGCATTCGGGACGTTCTGACTGTATTCCAGTTGTATTCGAGGTACATTCGAGCTGTATTCCAACTTCAATCGAAATATTCCGATACAGTTGAAGAACATTCCACCTGAGGTCAAGCAGCACTAGAAATACATTCCGACTCATTCCAGGAGCATTAGAGACAGTCTGACGGGATTTGAAGTGGCTTGTCTTTTCTGTTCGCCCTCGAATATGTTGAAGATACTTAGAATGCAGTTAGAATGCAGTAAGAATACTTAGAATGCAGTTAAAATGCAGTAAGAATACTTAGAATGCAGTTAAAATGCAGTAAGAATACTTAGAATGTAGTAGGAATACTTAGAATGCAGTTAAAATGCAGTAAGAATACTTAGAATGCAGTTAAAATGCAGTAAGAATACTTAGAATGCAGTAGGAATACTTAGAATGCAGTTAAAATGCAGTAAGAATACTTAGAATGCAGTTAAAATGCAGTAAGAATACTTAGAATGCAGTAGGAATACTTAGAATGCAGTTAGAATTCAGTAAGAATACTTAGAATGCGGTTAGAATGCTGTAGGAATACTCAGTATGCATCTCAAATGCCGTTCCATGTTGTTCCACATCGACCGACCTCGACAGTTTTGAACATGTTCAAAACATTCGGGAATGTTACAAGAATTGACCCGAATAGTTGGAATGCAGTATGAAGTTCAGTTCGAATTTTCAGGAATCTCCAGAATGTTTGATTCCGACTGCATTTCGGAATCAAGTGTGACGGGGATATAACGCCGGTATTCCAGTTATATCACAGGTGAAATACAGTTCTCACCCACGGGCCTGGGTCTTCGTATGACGAATATTATCGGCGATGCGGAAGTCGAATCTATATTCACTGGTTCCTTTCGTACTAAAGGGACTAAACACAGTACAGTGACTTCATCCCACACAGTTTCAACAAATAGGTCAAATTGTTTCAATTCGAAAGGGAACACTTACCCCCTCAAGTTTGGGGACTGAGACCTGTCCCAGGTGAAGATACCCTTTTCCACTTGTATTGCATATTCTGAAACAAATGTACATAATTAGGTTCCATGCTCAACTTCAACTTTAGTTGGCTGGTTGGTTGGTTGGTTGGATGTATAACGCTGCACGCAATATTCCAGTTTATGGTAGCGGTCAGTAAATAATATCTGAACACGACAATCCTGTGATCAACAGCTTGAGCATCGATCTACGCAATTGGGAACCGATTGCATGTGTCAACAGGTCAGCGAGCCTGACTACCCGATCCCGTTAGACGCCTCTTACGACAAACGTGGGTTGATGAAGACCAGTTGTAACTCGGATTTTCACGGGTCTAGAACTGTTAGTGGTAATAATGCCATCCTGCTCCATCCGTGTGTTCTATGTGTTTCCCATCTCAAACCTCACCCGGAAAGAGAGTAGATGGGAGTGGAGAAATAAAGAAAAAAAACTAGAAAATAAAAAAGTCATTTCATCTGAAACTTATTTTATGACATTCTAAAGTTGAGATCACTTGGTGAGTGAGATTGAGTTAAACGCTGCACTCAGCAATATTCCAGCTATATGGCGGCGGCCTGTATATCATCGAGTCTGGACAAGACAATCCAGTGATCAACAGGATGAGCATAGATCTGCGTAACAGGGAACCGATGACATGTGTCAACCAAGTCAGCGAGCCTGACCACCCGATCCCGATAGTCGCCTCTTACGACAAGCATGGGTTACTGAAGATCAGTATTCTCACCCGGATCTTCACGGGTCAGATCACTTGGTGATAGTCGTGAAAGTAATATATGATGTCACCAAGTCGCTTTACTTCAAAAAACATATAGATGAAGAAAGATGAAGGTGACAGTATTTTTTATCTCACCAGGCAACATCACGGCGGGGACCACCAAAAATGGGCTCACACGCTGTATCCATGTGGGGAATCGAACCCGGGTCTTTGGCGTGACAAGCAAACGCTTAAACCACTAGGCTACCCAACCGCACCCACTGATAAATTGTAAAGTGCTCTGGACAAATTGCCTTCCGACTCATCAATGGCCTGAACATCTACTTACCGGCGTGTTTGTCGTACGTGACGTTGCTGGAGTCGAGATCTTCACTGCATAGGAAGGAATTCACTCTCTTGACCGACACGTAGGCCTACAATAGTATATAACACATCACACTAGTGAGTGAGTCCCTTTTCGATTCTCGACTCGATAAACAGTTGATATTTAGCACTACACAGTCAAACACCATTGTGTCGAACTAATGGTTGTCTCCAAGGGAAAGCTTGGTCCCTTCCCATCATATTTCGGTTGTGTCGAAGGCCAGAACTTGATAACTCGACTGAGTGAGTTTGGTTTTACGCCGCTTTTAGCAATATTACAGCAATATCACGGCGGGGGACACCAGAAATGGGCTTCACTCATTGTACCCATGTGGGGATTCGAACCCGGGTCTTCGGCGTGAAGAGCCAACGCTTTCACCACTAGACTACCCACCGCGCCAGATAACTCGAAGTATTATCGTAGTTCCCTTCCCATTCAACACAACGGTGTTCGACGGTAGTACCTGTGGTACCAAATTCACATGATAATTCAGATCACATTTTGTTATTGACCAAGTCATTTCAACCTGATTTATTCTACCCGTGAATCACCATGCGTAATTTAAAGCCGTTACGGAGGCGGGCTGTAATTGTGGACGTTACACTGACCGAAATTACTTCTGTCCAAAGATTCCCATCATATAGATTGTCCGTTAATTCCTGGATCCGCAAACCTAAGAAAAAATGGGTTCGAATTCCGGGTTTACCCGAATATGATTGTGGGATTGTGGCACCATACGCGGTCTCCAATGAATGCTTTGGCAAAACGGCAATGCTAGTCAAGGGAGGTAACTGCATCGTACCTGAACGGTATACGACATGATGGCCGACAGAAGATTCATGGGGACACGGAGGATGTTGAAGAGGGAGAGGGTGACAAAGGCTTTGTTGGCGTCCAACTGGTTGTTGGGGTCGGCGAGGATGTATGCAGCAAACGTTGCTGCAACTACCTACAACACATAAAAACAGGTAATAATAATAATTAATAATGAACGGGTATCGTTTTGAGAGTGAGTGAGTGAGGATGGTTCTCAAGCCGCTTTTAGCAATATTCCAGCAATATCACGGCAAGAAACACCAGAAATGGGCTTCACACATTGTACGCTTGTGGGGAATCGAACCAGGGTTCTCTGCGTGACGAGCAGATGCTTTATCCTCTGGGCTACCCCACCGCCCCGTATCGTTATGTGACGCTTATCATGGCCGCCTATAAACATCGAGTCTGGAGCAACCAAACCGCTACGTCTACATCGTGGACGACAAACGGTCAGCCAGGTAACTGTGTGACCACAGACTCATCTGCATTCGCCGACACTTTGGTCACACTGAATTCCAATCGAGCGAACACTTTAACCACTCAGCTACCTCCCCCCACACACACCAGCCCCCCTTCCCCGTACCAGGAGTGAGTGAGTTTAGATTTACGGTGCTTCAGCAATATTCCAGCAACATCACGGCGGGGGACACCAGAAATGGGCTAGACACATTGTACCCATGTGGAGAATCGAACCCGGGTCTTCGGCGTGACGAGAAAACGCTTTCACCACTCAGCATACCATCGCCCTTACCAGGAACGGTGCGACGGTCCAGCCGAGCCCAGTGAGAATAGAGAGGTAGGCGATCTTCAGCTGTGAGCTTATCTCCTTCTTTCTGATCTCCTCCACCTTGCTCTTGAACGACTCCTCCCACGCGTACAGCTTCAACACCTGCAACGACATCATCTCGGTGAGTGAATGCGGTACACTATGCCCAAAACTGATCGAGTTAGTGAGTGAGTGTTTTAAGTTTTATCCCGCTTTTAGCAATAATCCAGCAATATAACGACGGGGGACACTAAAAATGTACTTCACACATTGTACCCATGTGGGGTATCGATGCCGGGTCTTTGGCGTAACGAGCGAACGCTTTAACCACTAGTCTACCCCACCGTTCCCAAATGACAGAGCCTGACAACCCAATTTCTCGGGAGTCATTTGTCCCTGATATTTTTCCCTGATTTTAAGTACACCAGGAAATCAACAGCAACCCATGCCTGTTGTAATAAACGGGATCGGGTGGTCAGGCTGGTTGACTTCGATTAGGTATTTCATTGTATCCCAACTGATTTTAACCTGATTTCCTGATCAAAATTCGAGTATTTTCAGACCGCAGCAATATAACTGAAATATCGCTCAGAGAAGAACAAACCGAAGAACACACAAAACCAACACTGGAAATAAAAAATGGAAGCGTGGCAGTCAAACACTACATTCAAACGAATATGCTGGGGTTTGATAAAAAACACTCAATATAACATCCTTTATTCCATGTACCATATCTCTTTTAAACAAATGTGAAGATACTTAAATCAATGAATTTATGTAAATATGTTTTGTATCTCTCTGTTGTGTCAGTAGCTCTGCGGATGTAACACAAATTCCTCTTTACGTTGTCTCCCATTAGTTACACTTGCCATTAGTTTCACAGTTTGAAATTGCCAATTGTTACACAGTCAGATTAGAACACTTCCTCGATTATCTCCAGGGCATACGTAACGAGCACTCTCCACTGTACCCTGGATGCATCCACGGCTTGAGGCGATGATTTTATTACCTCCCTTGGCTGACTCCGCATTCTCACAGTAGCCAATCAGCTAAGCCGCTGTTACAACCGAGCTTGCCAGTTCGCAGTGCCACTCAGATTTTTTAGGGAAATAATAAAGACAAATTAAAAGATTCACTCCTTCTACTTCTTTCAGAGTACCTCTGCATCAATTGTGTTGCCAAGTTTAAACGGTTAGATAATTTAAGAAGGGAAAGTGAGTTGTGATTGGTTCGCTCAACTTCTCAGGGTAGACACCTGATTGGATAAAAAGCCAGCCAAGGGAGGTAGTAAAATCATCGCCCCCCAAGCCGTGGATGCATCCAGGGTATAGTGGAGAGTTACCGTAACGTATACCCTGGAGATTATCGAGGATGATTAGAACAATACCAACAGCCTTAATAGACTCTTCCATACTGATGAGCTGAAGGATGAGCACCCGAGCCATCTCCTTCATACAATGCAAAGCTCTTTACGTGTTATTCCACTTAATGCGAGCTTTAGATACAAGTTACATACAATACAAAACTCTTTACACGTTTGCCAGCTTGCAGATTCATTTGGAAGATAGAGACCGCAGATCAAGTCAAGCTTGCACAGATTGACTTTCGGGCAGCTCCACCTACACAGAAACGGGTCTACAGGGAGCGAGAGAACCATTCGTAACTACTCGCCTCTTTCCGTGACCTAAAAGAAGACTCGTACCCCTATCGTACGCCATTATTGCCAAGATTCGTGGTGAACCAATCAAATCGCGCGTAGCAAAATGCATTTTGAAGCATGAAAATGGCGGCACCGTTGAAGTTTGAAACTTCGCTAAACTATGCAAAGCACAATTTAAACATAAACGTATAGCTAAACGATCAGAAACTTAAACACTGAAACATATTTACAAAGGGAATGACTGTATTGCTGTTTTGCCCACGGGAAAGAGATATTCTAGAAAATTGAAAAATTGGATATTTGGAAATTCAGAGTCATCTTTCCTTGGTAATAGTACTAGACTATTTTCATCTCCATGCCCGTTTGCGCTTTGACAGAGCCCAGTCGTAAACATGGCTACGAGACAGGCACGAGACGCCATCCGGCTTGCCGGAATGACACGAGTAGTTACGAATGCAAGAGAACAGGATCCAGAGATTGAAAGACAAACTAGAATTCCTTGACGCCATCGGACAACGGCTAAACCTTATTTTCGGATTCTGTGAATTTGTCTATTCTATAATGCGTTGTGTTATTCTTATTTGTCCAGTGCTTCTTATGTTGTCTTATTCTCGGATTAAATATGGTTTGTCCATATTGTTGTAAATATTTTGATGAATCTTAGTGCTTATAGAACTTTGTGTTATTTGTCATACACAAGTATGGGTCATTCCATTCTAAACTCTCAAGGTAATAGGAAGGAGATTAGATTATGCAATCATCTGTGAGTTTGTTTGTATAAGGGTGTGTAACTAATGACACATGTAACTAAAGGGAGGATACCCCTGAAAAGGCATTAAAGTATCACTCTATAAAATTCTGTTCTATCTTTCAAACCTTGATTCCGTTCAGGATTTCATTCAGCAGTTTGATCCGCTCGTCTTTCTCCTTGAGGTTCCTGGCCTGTAGATGACGTTGTATGTTGGAGAGGAAGCCGTTGAAGGGAATCATGATGAGGAGGACGCCGAAACCGGCAAACACGGACGGTCCTATCGTGACGTACAGCAGGATGGTGGACAGGATGATCTGGACGGGAACTGACCACAACAGGTACAGGTAATTCATGACGTCATTGATGCGCTGACTGTCCACGGACATCAAGTTGACAATCTCGCCGGTTGTCGTGGTTTTCTTGGCCTCGTTGCTTAGTGTCAGGGCCTTGAAATATAACCATCATGCTAGCAGAACGCATTTTTACCATCAACGATTAAGTATTTGATACGTTTTCGTGTGGAATCTATTATAAGTCATTACTCGTGGTATTCAGTATAAATCATTACGTTTGATATTCAGTATAAATCATTACTTGCGATATTCAGTATAAATCATTACTTGTGATATTCAGGATAAATCATTACTCGTGGTCTTCAGTATAAATCATTACTTGTGATATTCAGTATAAATCATTACTTGTGATATTCCGTATAAATCATTTCGTTTGATATTCAGTACAAATCAGTACTTTTCATATTCAGTATTAACCCTTACTTTTCATATTCAGTATACATGTATATCATTACTTTTCATATTCAGCATTAATCATTACTTGCGATATTCAGAATGAAACATTACTATTCATATTCAGTATAAATCATTACTTTTCATATTCGGGGTTCATATTTTTCATACGATGCCGTAGGGCAAAATATCACTTTGTCATGGTGACGTGACCTCATGAACAATGCTATAACGTCACGTTTCTTCAATGACTTTGCGTTCTACATGCAGCGACGGGGGCTGGCCAGCCTATGTTTGAAAGTAGATTTGGGTTTAATTTCCTCAATTTGACGACTTCGATAATAAACAGAATATCATATTCGTGCCCATATCATACTATGTTTACGACACTCGTACCTAAATATCGGTATATCCCTCGCTCTCGGGAAATATCAAAATTTTGGCACTAGTGTCGTAAACATAGTATGACATGGGCACTCATATAATATCCGCTATATATCATTACTTGTGATATTCAGTATAATTCAGTACTTTTCATATTCAGTATGAACTCTTACTTTTTGTATTCAGTATAAATCATGACTTTTGATATTCAGTATAAGTAATTTGAGATTCTGTATAGATCATTACTTGTATTAATCATTATACATCATTATTGTATTGGTACTAATTATAATAAATCAGTTATTTTGACATTCATTGCATCTCATTACTTAAATCATCTGTGATCTTATAATTTCTTTTATTGATTTAGCCGTACATGACCACATTAATACTATTATTGACTCGGCCAACCGTGACCCAGTAATTCCTTTGGTCAACGGTTGAAATACAAATCGGCTACTGTGTATTGGCCACGTCCTTGGTGTCTCACCTTCTTATAAAGGGCCGCGATTAGGGTGGTCTTCATTTGCATCCCGAGAATGGCGGCTTGGTTGATACTGGCCTGGTAGAAGATGCTCCGGAACGTGGACAACAGCAACAGCGACGTTGCCAGTACGTACCCCTTCCATTCCTCGCCGGGGGTCTTGTCGGAGATGTAGTTAATCAAAGCGCTGTTGAAACAGTAAGCATATATTCAACGGTCTGTAAATAATGGAGTTTGGACCAGACAATCCAGTGGTCAACATCATGAGCATCGATCTACGCAATTGGGATACGATGACGTCAGCGAGCCTGACCACTCGATCCTGTTAGTCGTCTTTTTACGACAAGCATGGGTTAATGAAGATCAATTCTAACCCGGATCTTCACGGGGTTTATCTCCATGGACCCACACTTACCTCATAACTAGAGGCCCTGCCATCTGTAGAAGATCGGCCACAAACTTGACGCCAAACAACAGAAGCAGACTGCAGCCATACAATCGCCATAGAACCTTTATCAATGATGGCTTCAGCAGACCACGTGACGAGTCGTCGAGGTCGGCCTTTTTGTCCGTGGAGTTGATCATACCCTTGACCAGTGGACTGGATTTGGTGGACGAGATGAGCGGGGTTCTTTCCGTGTGTGTATGTCCGATAGACACTGCACCGTTTGTGTAAATCACTTTTCTTTTCGCCCTCAGAATATGACTGAAAAGGGAATTTTTGTGATTAAAAATTTGATTTCTTTATGGTTTTAGTTGTAAATTACTGTTTAACGCCACACACAGAAATATTCCAGCTATATGGCGTCGGTCTGTACATAACCCAGTCGGGTCCAGACAATCCAGTGATCAACAGCATGAACATCGATCGACGCTATTGGGAACCGATGACATGTGTCAACCAAGTCAGCGAGCCTGACCACCCGATCCCGTTAGTGGCCTCTTACGACAAGCATGGGCTTGGGATCATAAAATGATCTTTCCCAAACGTTGGGTACGATTTTACGGTTCCCACTATACAGTGAATATGCGTTTATGAATCAATATCATATATATCATGACATATCCTTTCTTCATACTCGTTACGTAAATGTTGGTATATTTGACTTCGGTATAGTTGAACGCCTCAAAGATTCAGTTCCGCCTCTAAATTAATGTGACATTATGACGTTTGACCTTCGTGTTGCCCCTAACGCTTACATGTCTTGTAGATTAGTCCTAGTTTAAACTTTAACTGCCTGTTCTATGGTTATACTGTTATATATTATAATACATGTAGGAGTGAGTGAGTGAGTTTAGTTTTACGCTGCACTCAGCAATATTCCAGCTATATGGCGGCGGTCTGTAAATAATCGAGTCTGGACCAGACAATCCATTGATCAACAGCATGAGCATCGATCTGCGCAATTGGGAACCGATGACATGTGTCAACCAAGCCAACGAGCCTGACCACCCGATCCCGTTAGTTGCCTCTTACGACAAGCATGGGTTACTGAAAGTTCATTCTAACCCGGACCTTCACGGGTCATACATATACAAACTTTCAAGTACAGACCTTCACGACCAGTAGTTTTAGAAATATTCAAGCAATATCACGGAGGGGGGACACCAGAAATGTGCTTCACACATTGTACCCATGTGTGGAATCGAACCCGGGTCTGCGGCGTTAAGAGAATACGCTTTAACCACTAGGCTACCCCACCGCTCCGTCAACATTTACTACACAGGTTGCTAGGATCCTGTTCTTCCCGGGCTGTCCTTCAGTGGGAGAGATAGATTATCATATCTCTTCTAGATAATATGTCATTTACCTAACGGCAAAGGAGCTTCATGGTGGAGAAATTACATATTAAAGAGCCTATAATCGAGGTAACTTAAGTATCTAGACGAACAATCCGGGAGTGCCCGAGTAAGTTACTTTTGATATTTGAGTTATAGCACGACGTGTAAGCTTAACGTGGGAGGCACTTCCTTTTACTGACTAGTCGAAAGCCACCAGCATGGCTCCGATGGTGGCAAACCTAAAAGCGTCATCCAGGAACACCAAGACTTGAAGACCTGATCAAGGGACGCAACTCTGCAAGTTTGTGAGTGAGTAAGTTTAGTTTTATGCCGCACTCAGCAATATTCCAACTATATTGCGGCGGTCTGTAAATAATTGAGTCTGGACCAGACAATCCAGTGATCAACAGCATGAACATCGACCTGCGAAATTGGGATACGATGACATGTGTCAGCAAGCCTGACCACCCGATCCGGTTAGTCGCCTCTCACGACAAGAGTCGTCACTGAAGGTTCATTCTAACCCGGATCTTCACGGGTATGCAAGTTTGTGACATCAGGATCAGCGAAATCGTGGTAAATATAGATCATAAGTCTGTACATTAACGCGCGACACCTGTAACTCCATCATTTGACACGGCGGGTACTGTGTTGAGGCGGGTACTGTGTTGAGGCGGGTACTGTGTTGAGACTGGTCCATACTACTATTTTTCCACCGGTAGACTTACTATTACTTGACTTAAAATATTACCATGAAAGGTAAAATCGATGAATATATTGCATTTTGTTGTTTTGGTCTCAAAACCATGACGCGCACTTACGGTTTTCGTTTGAAAAATATATGAGTGACATTATCTAAGTGGTTTGTATTGTTGCTTTTTTAATTCAGCAGAAACTTACTTTTTTGTCTTTACTTTCTTCACTTCTTCGGCCCATTCTTTCTCAAAGTGTGGCACCAAGGTTTGGCTCTGATCACGTGGGTTGAGGTCCCAGAGATCTTCCTCTACTATGCCTCGTTTGTAGCCAATGACGACCAGCCTGGATTGAGTGAATGAGTGAGTGAGTTTGAATATTAGTTATATCACAGTTCCAGCATGTGGAGTAAGTTTGGTTTTACGCCGCTTTTAGCGATATTCCTGCAATATCAGGGTGGAGAAAACCAGATATGGACCTCACGCCTTGTACCCATGTGGAGAATCGAACCCGGGCCTACGGCGTGACGAGCGAGCGCTTTAACCGCTAGGCTACCGCATCGCCCATTCAGCATGTGGAAAGAAAGCCCGAGCTGATGCAAGTCGTACTACGATTGAACGATTGTATTTTGACGCCACATGTATTCTAGGAATACCACTGCCCCGCACTTTGTAAACATTTACCACTTTATTCATGCATCATTTGACAGTAGAACACAGGCAACTGATTCAACATTTTCTGGCCATGTTGGGGAAAGGATACTGAGCGAATATCACAACCAACAACCGTTATTTTAAATCTTAGCTTCGATCCCATGATCACAGAAACATAAAGCAGAAGGGAAGGAACAGTTTCGCTACTGAATGAAATACATTCCTCAGGAGTGAGTGAGTAAGTTTAATTTTACGCCGCTTTTAGCAAATATTCCAGCAATATCACGGGTACACCGAAAATCGGCTTCACACATTGTTCGCATGTGGGGAATCGAACCCGGGCCAATGGCTTGACGAGCGAGCGCTTTAACCGCTAGGCTATCGCATCTTCCATGTGTAAGGAAAACCCGAGGTTACTCAAATCGTAGAACGATTAAATTTATTTTGACGCCACATGTATTCTAGGAATACCACTGCCTCGCAATTCGTAAACGTTCTTCACGTCGGCGTGACGAGCGAACACTTTAACAACTGGGCTACCCCTCCGCCCGCATCCCCCTGAGACTACGGGATATCACATTACAGCTGCCTGTTTTCAGTGTTTAAAACTCCCAAAATTCCAAGCCAGACAGCCGTACTGGTAACTTAAATAAATTAGCAGTCCGGATACAAACTTGCCTGTCCGGTTTTCAACAATTGAAAACTGTGACTGCCATTTCCAACTCGCACAAGCTCAATTCACTGTTTGTAGGCATCGCAATGAACTACATAGCACCAAAAGGTAATGCAACGAGTTTAGGTAAACTGAAAGTACATGACTGTGATTGGATATCGTAACATGAACTGTCCAATCATAAGTAGTTTAAAATAATTATCAAAATACCTTAAACACCTCAACCTGACGACAAGAGAACCTGTCCGATATTATGAAATGTTTACTCTTAGGGGTAAAAATATCTACCAGACCACCGGACAGGCTAGTTTTGAAATTTGACCGTCCGAGATGAAAATAGACCGTTCCGGACGGTCGGGCAGGCGGGAATTTTAAACGCTGCTGTTTTGTAAATCTCATTAGTAAAAAATATAATATCTCGTCCATAAAACTGGACTAGTAAAACCGTTAAGCTAATGCTCCTGTTCATTACTTTGTGATCCACCAATACACAAATCTGGAGGGAAACGAGGCTGTAACTTCAGGACATGGTCGCTGAAATCAGACAGAAAACGAAACTTTAGTGAGTGAGTGAGTGAGTGAGTGAGTGAGTATGGTTTTACGCCGCTTATAGCAATATTCCAGCAATATCACGGCGGGGGACACCAGATATGGGCTTCACACATTGTACCCGGGTCTTCGGCGTGACGAGCCAACGCTTTAACTACTAGGCTACCCCGCCGTCCCAAAACCAAACATCAAGTGAAAACTAAAACAAAAGTACTACATAGTTAAAGAAAGTTTGTGTTTTAATGTAAGAAACCAACATTATATTTTCTTGAGTTACAGAATAATATACCGAATTGAGTTCAAACTTTAATTTCAAGCTCCCAGTCATTGTTCAAATTTACTTTAGAATTGAAATGAGGATATTTCCTCGCCAAGACGCTGTACCCAAAATACAGACTGCTTCACTATATACGACATCTTCAACAACTCACGTTTCCAATAACGTCGTATCCATCTCGTACTTTCGGGACATCCGAAATCCATTGCAGGATAAATTCGAAGAGTTGCAATCCAAATTTAACATAAAAAACTACAAACGTTAACAAGTCGGTGTCGTATTCCTGAAAGAAAAATAAAAAACAATTGCAACTAATTTGGGGCAAAATTATCACGAAATCACTTTTGACAATAAATCGTTTGAAACGGTCCTAAAATCGGGACAAAACCTTTTCAAGTATTTGAAATGGTTGGTTGGTTGGGTTGTTACTTATTCCAGCTATATGGCTGCGATCTGTAAATAATCGAGTCTGGACCAAACATTCTAGTGATCAACAGCATGAGCATCGATCTACATAACTGGGATATGATGACATGTGTCAACCAAGTCAGCGAGCCTGACCACCAGATCCCGTTAGTCGCCTCTTTTGACAAGCATGGGTTACTGAAGACCAATTCTAGCCCGGATCTGCACGTGTCTGTTCCAAATGGAGGTCTGGCACTAGTCTCGAAAATGAACATAAACTACGGAAAACAACTGTTTCTAAACTATAGTCATAAAATATACTTAAAAAGAGATTTTCGTCATTTTGGTATTTGAGACTAGCCACATTTTCTAGACTTGCTTGGGCTTTCTTAGATATATTTGTTTTTGGGTCTGTATGGCATTGTCACCCGATACCAAACATTCTGTGTCACAAATATGATCTGCTTATGCATATGAATGCGAATACCTATACCGATAAACACCTGGTTCATATTTACACGCGTGTTGGGTGACCTTGACCTCGATAGGGAGATAAAGTACTGATAGCCCCATGAAACTAACAGTACACAGGAGATGTTAGGATATAAGCGCTATACTTATCAAGTATATTAAACAATTCGTGTGTAAATGACAAAAAAATTGCAATAGTGATTCTCGACAACATTTGGATATTTTCAGTACATAGAGAATCTCACCCAAGTGTCTTCTGATATCAATTATATCAACACGAGTTGATAAAGTTACAAATATCCGAGGCTTGCCGAGGATATTTTCACTTGTATCAACGAGTGTTGATATAATTGATATCAGTAGACACGAGGGTGAGATTCTATTTATCATCAAAAATCATTCTTCATTAGTTTTCAATGAAAAATGTACATCTCTCAACACTTACTACCATTAGACTTGCTGTGCAGTGATGTCATAGCATTGTGACGTCATCAAGTTGATGACGTCATAGCATTGTCAGGGCATTGTACAAAATCTACTGTCAAAACAATATCTCCAAGGAGATATCATATGATCTCACACAAGCGATATCTCCTGTGGAACACAGTTTTGGATGATAAAAAATTGTAGCATCAATCTGAACTAAAATACTATACCATATATAGCCGTGACCCATATAATTTTTTGTTGTCCTGCTCACACAAGCAACTCTTTGTATGTATTGAAGGTTGGCTTACATTTGCATCGAAATTTTTAAAGACATTACCAACTTATTAGAGGTCATGCAAGTTCTGGTGCAATGTTGCCCTTGTCAGATAGAGGACAATATGTATTTATTATTATTATTATTATTGGATATTTATATAGCGCACATATCCACGCACTAGTGCATGCTCAAGGCACTGGGTTTTTTTCCCTCGATCATTGGATGTCAATCTCAACGGCACATCGCATTATCAATCTCAACTCCCTGGGGAGTATACAACTCATGCAGCCACTAGGCGCACCGAGTTATTGTGGCTTTCTTTATTTACCAGCCGGTGACAGAAATTAGGTACACTAGCGAGATTGACTCCCCTGCGTATGCACGATACAATACAGTAGTTTTAACGGTCGACTGATTCAACTGTTTTAGATAACATACATTAAACACTTCGATCCTATCGTTTAAGTGAAATGTCATGTAGTATTGTGTCGGACGTAAATTGACATTGTCGGATATGTAGTCACTATTTCGGGCATGTTGGACTATATTGGACGTATACTGACGGTACGGGCATTATACAGACTCCGGCCTGACATGACTTTTCACTCCTCTCAGTAAAGAAAGGCGAACGAAAATTTAACGTGAGTGAGTGAGTGGGGGAGTTGAGTTTATGGCCGCTTTTAGCAATATTCCAGCAAGATCACGGCCGGCGACACCATAAATGGGCTTCATACATTGTACCCATGTGGGGAATCGAATTCAGGTGTTCGGCGTGTCGAGCGAACGCTTTAACCACTAGGCTACCTCACCGCCCCATAATTTAACGTATGTTGTATGACGTGATCGGGGATCGAACCCCAGACCTTTCACGGTCTGAGCAAACCCACTTCGATTAAACTTGTGATGTCGCGGGAACCTGAATAAAGGAAAAGGATTTAAAAACCGAAAAATAAATTGAGTATTATATTACACGAATTTTTGAACAATACAGCAATATCACTTTTAAGGGAAACCAAATATGGGCTTCACACATGATGATTAGGGGGTTCGAACCAGACGATTCGGTGTCTCGGACAAACACTTTAACCATAGTGCCAACCATCATGGAAAGGAACTAACCTTTTGTATTATGTAAGTATAAAATGGTATAACAGCAGCCATCACTTCCAGTGTCCAGAACACGAACAATATACCAGACGTATATACCCCTCTCAGTCGATCTATCTGCATGATAACGATCGTCAGCAGCTGAAAAGAGAGTGAACGGATTAACATCGGGAGGTTTGAAGAGGTTTGTCATAAGTGATTTTTTTAAGCAACAGCTTTGCAAGGGTTGCAAGAATAGGTTCCCAACGTATAGGCGTATGCAGAACGGGACCCTGCACCCCCACCGCCTTTGGTCCTGAAAGTTTAAATGATCATTGAAACTCTCGTGAAAACGATTCCAGGAGGGGAGACACCAGAGATGGGCTTTGTCCGGAATTGAACACGGACCTTCGACATGACGAGTGAACGCTTTGACCACAAGGCCATATACGCCTCGTTATAGATAACTGAGAATTTTTAGATGCTGACATTTAGAATAAACTTATGACATATATTTTACGTTTTGTATTAACTGTATGTCAGAGTTATTTATCAACTCATATCAATATTTATTTTAAAAATGTGTCAGCTTGTCTGACGTTTGACGCCTCACTCTGCAATAGCCTAGCCACAAGACGATGGTCTGCATCATACAAACCAGTGATGGATATAGTGAGCATCGTTCCAAGCGGTCGTCGACTGGTACAAGCACAGGTTGATGGAAATATTCCTACTGGACTCCTTACTTGAGCAATTAAATATAGCTGAATAGGAAGTAGAAGTATTTTGTTTTCAAAAGTATATTCACAACTTACGTATGTGATACACTGCAGAGAGAAGGCTAGGTATTCAGCCTGTGAAACTGTGTTCCCGTTGTTCTGGGTGGCCACCAGGTGGAGAATGTTGACGAGTGACAGGAGACAGAGGATGCCGCTGCTAAACTGTAACAGTGAGTGAGTGAGTATGGTTTTACGCGGCCTAGTTATGTATCCCAGCAATATCAGGGCGGGGTACACCATAAATAGGCTTTTAACCATATGGGGAATCGAACCATCGGCTCCGGCGTGACGAGTGAACACTTAAACCACTTGGCCACTGAACTGTAACGGGAAGCATTAAGTAGAATCAGAGTGTCCGGCATCACAGGGCCACACCCATCATTCCAGTTAGAATGGCAAATGTTAAGTATGGTCCCAAGGCGCACTGAGTAATCATATATATTCTTTACAAAAATCCGAATCCAGGAATGATTTGATCGTTTATTCGTTTGTTGTTTTACTCCGCACTCAGCAATATTCCAGCTATATGACAGACAGACAGACAAGTTTATTCAGTAAAAGGCTACAGGCCCATCATACAGCCATTTGCATATGATATAGATAGTTTAGTGCACATGCTGTGTAAGAGGAACATTTCTAATGCGCTGAAGTACATGATACAGAAAAATACTGACATCTCTTATGATACAATCATTTTGTGTTTTCATAATGTTAATAAAATTGGCATTTGGATCAAAATCAGTAAAATATTTCTGAATATATCTTAACCTTAAATCAGATAAACTTTCCAGCTATATGGCGGAATAGTAATGAACTGTGGATCAGACAATCCAGTGATTGTTTAGCAATATTCCAGAAATATTACGCTGGGGGAAACCAGAAATGGAATTTACACACTGTATCCATATGGGGAATCAAACCCGAGTCTTCGGCGTGATGACTGAACACTTTAACCACCAGACTTCGCCATCGCCCCAAAGGGAAAGACACAAACGAAATTAACCACCCACCACATAGGAGTATAACTTCTTCGAACCGTAAAACCAATTCGTCTTCTGTGGCACTGCTTGCGCATTGTAAACGAAATACCAGTTTTGTGTCCCTTTCGTTCGGATGCATGATGATACTATGCTCATTCTACTATACTGTTCACACTTTGCTAAGGGTCAAATCATGGATTCAACAGAACACTATGATGTTCGGTCAACTTTGGTTTAAATATCTCAGCTTATTGTAAGCATGGATCCCAGGTTTCAGATTGTCATTTCGTCTTGTGAAGCCCATACCTGCTATTGACAGGTGTTGTGTACTTGTCAATGACTCGTTCCATGATTTGCAAAATGGTTGATTGGAACCATGAAAACAATTTCTATGGTTACTCATGTATCAAGTGCATCAGGTTAGATTACAGTGACTGTTTGCTTAAAGAGGGGTTACCATATCATTATCAATCCAATTTCAAATGGATACTATTTCAAATTATAAATCTACGTTTAAGTAAAGTTGTGTTTTTTTGTGATCCTTAGCAAATTGTGCGTAGTATATTTCAAACTCATATACTAGGCTATACCATATTCAGCAGTATTTGAACGTTATATATAGTGAGTGCTTTTAGCAATATTCCAGCCATATCACGGCAGGGGACACCAGAAATGGGCTTCACACATTGAACCCAAGTGGGCAATCGAACCTGGTTTTTCGGCGTGATGAGCGAACACTTTAACCACTAGGCTACCCCACCCTGAACGTTATAGACTAACGCTTAGTCCCTGGATTGATAATATACTTGTTTCCTTTGGGCCTTTAGCATTGGAGGAAGGGCTAGGCAGTAGGGAAAATAATGTGGTTCGGGGACTGTGAGACAGACTACATTGCAGGGAGGGCTAGTCAGTAGGGGAAATAATGTGGTTCAGGGACTGTGAGACAGACTACATTGGAGGAAGGGCTAGTCAGTAGGGAAAATAATGTGGTTCAGGGACTGTGAGACAGACTATGACCGTCACTATACTTACAGTTTTGACAATGTTGAGAGTCGAGATGGGGAGCCTGGCCTTTGTCTTCTGGGAGATAATGTAGGGCAAATAGAAGGCAGCGGACACCCATAAGAAAACCACAGACACCCAAATCAGCACTGTAGACCGGAAGCATGGCGTCAGCTCTGGCCAGGAGTTGTGCAAGAGTTCCGTGTTGTTCTGAAACATGGCAGACATTGGTTCAACATTGATAGTGTTTGCTTTTATTAGTAATGTGTAACATTGATAGTGTTTGCTGTTATTAAACGCCGACGCAGCAGTATTCGGTCTGTTTGTTGTTTAACGCCATACTCAAATATTCCATCTATGTGGCGGTGGTCTGTAAATAATCGAGTCGGGACCAGACAATCCAGTGATCAACAGCATGAACATCGATGCACGCAATTGGGGATACGTTGACATGTATCGAGCAAGTCAGCGAGACTGACCACCCGATCCCGTTAGTCGCTTTTTGCGACAAGCATGGGTGCCAGAGGTACAGATAAGCTGCGTATCTGCGTAAATTACGCAAACATTTATGTGAAAACTCAATTCTTACCAAGCCTGTTGCGTACAAGTACGCTTGATTTTTTGTAAATACTCAATATATTTTATCTTACATGTGTACACACAAAAATGTCAAATCTTTGTTTGCGTACAGGTGCATAGATAAAATAACTGAGGTACATTGAGAGGTTCTATTTCAACACATGAACTAGGCAACTTGCAGTCTTTCTTATAGTTTCTCATATTACAGATCCAATATAAATAACATTTAAGCATCATTATATTTTTACAGTTAATGGAAAATGACGAAATACCCAATTGAGTTTGAATGAGGTGGGTACAATTTATTTGATTACTCAAAGGAAAATTAGGATACCCAATTGAGATGAGCACAAGCGAGTACATAACTCAATGACCCAAAATGTTATCTGTAGCTCTGCAATGGGTAACAGAAGATCAATTCTAAGCGGGATCTTCACGAATTCAATAAGGATCAAGGCGAAACAAAAAGAAACCAACATTATATCGTTGTAATCTCTGTCTCCATACTCTTGCTGATAGAACGGGGTAGATTCTCGTTCACGCAACTGCTTCAAGCAATTTTTTATGTAGGTCAGTTATTCTACGACTTCCCATAGTCAAATATTAAATGAGTGGTTTTTCTTTTACACATGGAACCTCACAAAATAGGTCACAACAGCCACGCTTTATGTAGTGTTAAGTTTTATCAGCAGGGCCAAGTATTTGAATTATGTGAAACGTTCGGTTTCTCGTATAGTTAAATGTAGAAGCCATTACTGGAATAAGAATTATGTCGACTAAATTATCAAAATTAATTATAGTCTCTAAGGTGATGTTTGTGCTAGCTGATACAAGTGAGTGAATGGATATCGTTTTTTGAGTGAGTATGGTTTTACGCCACCGTTAGCACTATTCCAGCAATATCACGGCAGGGGACACCAGAAATGGGCTTCACACATTGAACCCATGTCGGGAATCGAACCCTGGCCTTTGGCATAACGAGCGGACGCTATAACCACTAGGCTACCGCATCACCCCACTAACTGATAGAAGCCAATTTTATCTGAGACGTAGTTTTTTTCTGGGTGACCGGGTCAGAGCTCTTATCGGCCCGAGGGTGTGTTGACATTGTTGCCCATTACTCAGTGAATGGGAAAAGAATCCTGAAATGAAATTGTGTTACTATTTATAACTCACCAGAACGTGTGTATTACTGACTGACTGAGTTTGGTTTTACGCCGCTTTTAGCAATATTCCAGCAACATCACGGCGGACGTGTGTATTAAGTATCGTTTGATACAAATATAGATTACATCACTTTCATAAACATTTGTACACTAAGGGTTGTGACAACACTGAAAGAGTCTACACATAAAGCTGACTCCAAGGTTTTTACACCCGGTCACAGGTGTACTCGATCCCGTTATCTCAAGCTCGCTGGATCACTAGCCTGGCGCCTTAGACAGCTCGTCCACCATGCTCCATTCAATATGTTGTGTATATATTTCAATTGTTTCATTTCCGACGAGTCGACATATCTAAATATATACATGTGGTCTATTTCACTGAGAAAATGTTCTAGTGAGTGAGTGAGTTTAGTTGTACGCCGCACTCAACAATATTCCAGCTATATGGCGGCGGTCTGTAAACAATCGAGTCTGGACCAAGCAATCCAGTGATCAACGACATGAGCATCGATCTGCATAATTGGGAACCGATGAACCGATGACATGTGTCAACCAAGTCAGTGAGTCTCACCACCTGGTGAGATAAAAAAATACTGTCACCTTGATCTTTCTTCATCTATATGTTTTCGAAGTAAAGCGACTTGACGACATCATATATTAATTTCAAGACTATCACCAAGTAATCTGACCCGTGAAGGTCCGGGTTAGAATATTGATCTTCAGTTACCCATGCTTGTCGTAAGAGGCGACTAACGGGATCGGGTGGTCAGGCTCGCTGACTTGGTTGACACATGTCATCGATTCCCAAATGCGTAGATCGATGCTCATGCTGTTGATCACTGGATTGTCTGGTCCAGACTCCTGTATTTACAGGAGTGAGTGAGTGAGTGGGTTGGTGGGTATGTTTTTGCGCCGCTTTTAGCGATATTCCAGCAAAATCACGGTGGAGGACACCAGAAATGGGCTTCACACATTGTATACATGTGGGGAATCGAACCCGGGTGTTCGGCGTGACGAGCCAACGCTTGTACCACAAGGCAACCCTACGGCCCCGATTATTTACAGACCGCCGCCATATAGCTGGAATATGGCTGAGTGCGGCGTATAAGTAAGTTCACTCACTCACTATTTCCAGTAGTGTAGTTATCCTATGGCTGTACTGTTCCAGGTGCAGTTTCCCACGGAGAGCAAGCGATACCGTCACTTTCACAGGGGGTTAGCCCTGTCTATGCTCAACCGGAAGTTGGTCGTCATCAACTACCATTTCCTCGATAGACAGTCCCAAACTTCGTGATATTTTGATATTTCCAAGGAGTAATGTCTATGAAATCGACCTGTTTTATAAGCTGAATGGCCATGGATTATGACCCCTATATCATTTGGTCATGACACATAATATTTTGTTTACATTTGAAGCATTTCTTGACAAGTCTTTCGGCGCGAATAGGAAAAGCCGAGAAATCCATCACTTTCGAAGTCTTTACAACATAATCAATTGAATTAATTTCACTTATTGTGCATTTTTGGGCTAAATGAGGTTATATAGCCGCTGTGTCAATATTTTAGCTTTTGTAAAAACATACAAACTGAGATATTAACGACATCAAGACACATTTCGGATAAGGTTGAAAACACATTTATACCACTAGGGTATGTTATGCCCATTGTTCTGGCAGGTTGATTTTCTGTGTATCAACCTTCTATCTGCACGTGCAGAGATTGATATGTGGATAACAACCTTGGCGGTGCAGGAAACGCACGTGCAACAAGCAATGTACGAGTCCATTCGGCGCCCACGTGGTATAAGTAGGTTAGCACCACCCCCCCCCACCCCCCCCCTCTGCGGGTGATATGGTTTCAACGCTCTCGCCTCACGGCTCGAGCGTTGAAATCCATATCACCCTTGAGGAGGGTGCTAACGTATGCTTAGGCGCACAGATACCCCAGGTATCTTTAATGAGGTTCTCGCTAAGATTTCAGAATATTTCAGTGGACATTGCTTTAAAAGATTGCGTAGAAGGACAAAGAGAAACATGTGGGGAATCGAACCCGGGTCTCCGACGTGACGAGCCAACTCTTTAACCACTAGACTACCGCACCGCCCCTTATCAAGAGTAAGTCACACAGTGCTCACACAGTCACAAAAAAGGTTCTTGAAAAGGTTTAGAAATTCGGTTATCGGGACAAAGTTGCTAAACGTTTTAGCTGCCAGATTTCTTTGATTGTTTCCCTTGGCTAAATAGAAACAGGCCAGTCCACTCGGACCGGGGTCAAATCGTGAAAATGGTCAGCTGACAATACCAAGGTGACATAAGCCAGTGAATGACTTGGATGAGTAAGTGAGTTTAGTTTGACGTCGTTTTTAGCAATATTCCAGCAATATTACGGCGGGGACACCAGAAATGGCTTCGGACATTGTACCGGTACCCATGCGGGAATCGAACCCGGGTTCTTGGCGTGATGTACAAGCTTGCTACAAATCCTCCGCCCTAAGCAAATGTTGATTTGTATGCACGTAAAGCCCCGTTGATATGGCAACTTCAATTCCTTTTTACTGACTGGTTTTATCATTCATGAACAGGAACAAAATTAATAAAATCATTGTGTAGTCATGATTTATTTGACAGATTCATGTGTATTTTTTTCACGCTATATAAAATGGCTTTGTACAAAGCACATGACTGTTATATATAACTCATCTGGGATTGTCTGTGTTGGGTTTCGATGAACGTGAACCCTCGTGTTGTCGGTAGGCTAATCCCATATCTTAATCATTTATTTGTACTAGTTGTGGACATATGATAGCATAAATATTTTCAGTGAAATCGGCCCCGGTTCGATTCTCACATGGGAACAATGTGCGAAATCCATTTGAGGTGTATGTACTTAACAACCCAGCTGTGATATTGCTGGTATATTGCATGTACAGTCATACACTATAACTATTTGGGCTGTGGGGTAGCCTAGTGGTTAAAGCGTTGGCTCGTCACGCCGAAGACCCGAGTTCGATGATCAACATTGGTGCAATATGTGAAGCCCATTTCTGGTGTCCCCTCTTCGATATTGCTGGAATTGCGACGAAAGCGGCATAAAACCATGAATGAAGTCAGTCTGGATTTTTCACAGGTTCTGAAGCTCGCATCTCGGTGCATACTTCGCGGGTTCGAATGCCGTTCAAAGCGGCATAAAACCAAACTCACTCACTCTTTCTCTCACTCTTTCTGAATGAACATAGCCGAAATCCTGTGATAATATCTTCGTCCATATGTTTACACTCAGCAAACGTCATATGATATGTTTTAATTCATGTTCACTTGTTATAATGAAGAAGGCTCGGCGTTGTGTACAGTACACAAACCTGTGCACTTAAAAGAACCACTACGAATCCGTTGGTATATGACCATATGGTGGCCACATGAATACGTGCAAACACCCAGTTGCGGGTACAGCAACGTGCAGTAAACT